AGTTTCATAAGAAAGTACAGCGCATTCATGCCGATAATGGCCTAGAGTTCAACACGTCGGCCCTGCAAGATTTCTATGAGCAATCTGGTATTGTTTTACAAACAAGTTGCATTGACACGCCCCAACAAAATGGCGTCGTCGAACGCAAGCATCGACATATACTAGACACTGCTCGTGCTTTACGATTTCAAGCAGGGCTTCCTCTTCAGTTCTGGGGGGAGTGTATCCTAACGGCGGTTTATTTAATTAATCGTTTGCCCACCACCACAACCGGGAAAACGCCATATGAAGTTCTTTTTGGCAAGGCAACCTCCTATACCCAGCTAAAGGTGTTCGGGTGCCTAGTTTATGCGAAGGATAATCGTACTGGCTTCATAAGTTTGCGGAACGGGGGTGTGCTAGTGTGTTTATTGGGTATGCGGCTACCAAGAAAGGTTATGTTCTTTATGATCTAGCTACACAAAAGGTTTTTGTTAGCCGCGATGTCGTGTTTCATGAGGAACATTTTCCTTTTCAAAGTCCAAATCCAAGTGAATATCATTGGATTCCAAGTGAAGTGTTTGACAATAATCTGGTCTCCAATCATATTTTAGCTGAGGACGATGGGATAGGAGCAACTCCCTTTGCTGATTCTCGGTTGTCATCCTCACTTCCTGCTCCTCCCGACACTGCTGATTCATCATCCCAGCCGCATGGATCAATTGAGGATGCAGCGTCGCCTTCACCAAGTTTTGTGGGTCACGAGCAGGAAACTTCCCCTGCGACCTCGCCCAGTCCCACTCAAAGGGAAGTGTCACCTCCCCAGGCAGTTGAGCAGCTTGGCCGAGGCTTGCGTCAATGACAGTGTCCCAAGTATTTGGACGCTTATGCCACTGATCAAGAATATGAACAACTTGCTTACAATGTCAAATATCCTCTTTCAAATTACGTGACTTATGGTAAGGCTTCCTCTGTTTTCAGAGCTTTTCTTGCCGCTGTTACCCGCAATGAAGAACCTCGTACTTGGCAACAAGTTATTCTTGATGCAACTTGGCGCGCCGCTATTCGCAAGGAAGTGGCGGCGTTGGAGGCTACAGGGACATGGGTTCTCGTTCCTTTACCTCCGGGTCGTCGTCTCATTGATTGTCGATGGGTTTTCAAAATTAAGTATCGTCCTGACGGTACCATTGAGCGTTTTCGTGCTCGTCTTGTGGCCAAGGGTTATACTCAGGTCGAAGGGGTTGACTACCATGACACCTTCGCCCCAGTTGCGAAGTTGGTCACCGTTCGTTGTCTTATTGTCGTTGCTGTTCAGCAAGTTTGGCATCTTCAGCAGTTAGATGTTGACAACGCATTTCTTCATGGTGATCTTGAAGAAGAGGTCTATATGCGGGTACCCCCGGGTTTTCAACAGCCAGGAGATTCTCGTGTATGTCGCTTGCAGAAATCGATCTATGGTCTTAAGCAAGCTTCCCGTAACTGGTATCACAAGTTCACCACTGCTCTTTGTGAACTTGGTTTTCTTCCGTCTCCAGCTGACCATTCATTGTTCGTTTATCGTTGTGGCGATTCTTTTGTTGCTGCGTTGATTTATGTTGATGATGTACTTCTCGCTGGTAATGACTTAGATTTCATTAATCGGGTCAAGGCATTCCTCGATCAGCGGTTTAGTATCAAAGATTTGGGGTCACTTCGTTACTTTCTGGGGCTTGAAGTTGCGCGTTCACCTAGTGGCGTAATTCTCAGCCAAAGAAAGTACACGCTTGATATATTGGAGGAAGCAGACGTGCAAGGGGCTCGTCCCAGTTCTTTTCCTGTGGAGCAAAATCATCAACTCACTCGTCCTTCTGTTTCTGAGCAGCTAGTCGACGGATCCTCTTATAGACGTCTGGTTGGTCGTCTGCAGTACTTCACAGTCACTCGGCCGGACATTACCTATGGGGTGAACATTCTCAGTCAGTTTGTTAATGCACCTACGCAGGCTCATTTGGATGTTGCTATGCGCATCCTTCGCTATTTGAAGTCCTCTCCCGGACAAGGTTTGTTTTTCCCAGCTCAAGGTTCACTCGATCTCGTGGCGTACTGCGATGCTGATTGGGGTGGTTGTCAAACCACTCGTCGGTCTACTACAGGTTTTTATATCAGTCTTGGTTCTGCTCCTGTCTCTTGGCGCACCAAGAAGCAGAAAGTCGTTGCTCGGTCATCTGCTGAAGCTGAATATCGTGCTATGGCAAGCACGGTTAGTGAAGTCATTTGGCTTCGTTGGTTGCTCAGTGAGCTAGGCGTGACTCAGTCCGGTCCAACACCACTTTATTGCGATAATCAAGCAGCTCTTCATATTGCTGCTAATCCTGTTTTCACGAGCGCACAAAACATGTGGAGATGGATTGTCATTTTGTGCGTGAACGAGTTGTTTCTGGTGATATTTCACCACTCAAAGTCAGTTCAGAATTGCAGTTAGCCGATCTCTTTACCAAAGGGCTCGGCACTGATCGCTTTCGAAGTCTTTTGTCCAAGCTGAACGTTCGTGATCTTCACCGTCTAGCTTGCGGGGACGTATTGGGCCAAGGAGAAGCTCAGCCTACGTTGGCCCATCATGTGCAGGCTTGCATGGTCATGCAGCCTTTACCGTGTCCTGTTGGTAATTGGAATTGTGATACCCTAGATGATTTGTGGAAGGGTATAAGTACACATGTAAAGCCTTTCGGCCGTATCACATAATAAGAAAACCTAAACTTCTGTGGATGTAGATCTCACACTCTGTGAGATTGAACCACGTTAAACAAAGTGTCTATTTAATTTCCGCAAGTCTACGTTATTTCTCAACCCGGAAGGATGCCACACTATTTGCAATATCATCGAAAAGGGAATTATAGATCCAACATCTTACAATATTATCAGAACTATTCCAGGACTGCCAAATTGGATCTACAGGTGAGGAACATGAATCATACTATTCACAAAATGTAGCTTATTCTTCGTACTGAGGGCAATCTCCATCATTTTGCTCCAAAGATTGTAGTTTTGAGTGGTGGTTAAACCACCATCGTTAGGAGGAAGATAGTAATTATTGAGGTATGGGTCCTCATATCTAGTGTTTGGGGGTGTTTGTGGAATGGTTGAATGAAGGGTTGTGGAGGAGGAGGCGGGTCTTGGTTTCCAAATCCAGCCAACTCAGAGCCATCTGATATGTGGCCATCAACTCCAATTTATGATCAAACATACTGAAGGAAGAATGCTAAAATTAATTAGAAATTGGATGAAATGAGTTGAGATCTAGGTTAGAGAGTAACCAGGCTTTGATACCATGAGAAGAAAAACAAGGGAGTTGATAAAGGTCGTCCTAACAATTACTAATGATCGTCCTAAAAAACAACAAAGTTACACTTTTAACCTTTTAACATCTTTACCTTTCCTTTAGCAAACAAACACCACCTTCACTTAGAAAGCAAAAAACACTCATTCTCCCACACTCCTTTATTAGAAGTTATTTAAAGATGTCTTTTTGATTCAACAGCGACATCAAACTATTCATGCTTACTACAGGTTCTATTTGGCTTGTCGAAATACGGATTAATCAAAAAATTTGACCTCAACTCTCTACCCGTCGAATTCATCATCGACATTTGGAAGCCGAAATCGTCGAGCATACGTCCGAACAATGAGTAGCGACTCCGACGAGGTAAAAATCTCGTTTTTTTTATAAAAAAAACCCAAAAATTCTCAACCGAAAATCACATTCGGTTTGACCGAAGGCCAACCGAACGGCCTCTTCGGTTGTTGAAGGGAGACCTTACCTTCTCCGGCGGAACGAAGAGGCGCAGGCGTCCGGCGGTTGCTGGGGATCCCTGGTGCGGCCGCGGCTGGAGGCGCTTCGGACGGCCGCTGGAGGCGCTTCGGACGGCGACTGGACGGGCGGCGGCTGGAGGCGCTACGGTCTGCCGATGGTCGACAGAGAGGAGGGAAGGGAAGGGGCGGCGGGTGGCGCGGCAGACGACGGAGGATGAGGGAGGGGAAGGTCGGCGGAGTGAGGGAGGGGATCGCCGGGTTGCTATCGGCAGAGATGAGGGAGGGAAGGTCGGCGGCGTGAAGGCCGGCTGGGATTTGGGAGGGGCAGGGTTTCGGCTGGGGGTTGTTTGTTTTGCTTTTGCAATTTAAAATTCAAATGGGTAATTTGGTAAATTATGTATTAGGTTAGGACGATCGTTAGTAATTTTTAGGACGACCTTTAACCATTCAGAAAAACAACATATAGGGTTTTTGGGAAGGATTTTTAATCGAGAGCCTTCTGGTTTTCATATTTATGTATAAATATTCCAACTCTGCAAAGTGTTTTTGATTAGCAACAGCTAATCTACAATAACGAGTGGTATAAATTCGTACCTTCTGTGCAAAATTTATTCGTGAACTTTTCTTCATAAATTTTTAGAGCCAACCGATCATATGATAAATTAATACTTTTGTGCATTCAAAATTCAAGTTAAAGCGAAACAGCATCATTGATAAAGTTAAACTATAATGTTCAACTCTCTCATATTTAACAAACAATGAACATTTAAAAAATATTCAATAACCTGTGAAATTTAAAAAGTTGAATTATTTAGATATCTACATTCCAATCCTTACAAATCTTTTTTTTTTTTTTTGTGAAACAATCTAATTATCTAAATTGGTTACAGAGAATAATAAATAGTATTAATTAGGATACAAAAAAAATTCTTTTATGGAATATACGTTATATTGTGATTAAATAGATGACAAACTTGCATTTATACCAAATTCCAGAAAAGGTAACACATTAATAAATTATTAATTATAGATTTTGCTAAATGAGTTGCGAGAAATGTCAGCTGGGCAGAGATTGGGAATCGAAGAAGTTTCCCTTCACCGGATGCGGCAGGACCAGTTACCAGTGAATTGAGGTAACGGATGAGTTTGGTGCGCTCTTTGGATTTATTTATGTGTTTCTGTTATTGTTATGGAAGCGCTATCAATCCATCATAATTAGACTCTGGCTTTGAAGAAGAAGAAGAAGAAACAGAACCTCCTACTACCATTTCGTAGCTTTGACGCCTCTTTTCTTTCGATTTTCTTCCTTTTCTTCTCGGGAACCAAACGTGGGTTTGAAGGGTTCGATTTGATTTTCCCAATAAAAAGTTTTTCTTTTTTTGAATTCCGGGTTCCGCAAATCTTCTTCCAATCTCAGTAGGTGGATACACCATTTTCTTCCTGTATATAAATAGCTGCCACCTGATTTTGTGGTTCACCTTCAAAACAGGAATCAAGCACAGAGAAAATAGGAGGAGAAAGAAAGGGCGAGCAAAGGGAAAGGAATAAGGAGATTGATTTGAGTGAGTGAGTGAGTCTCTGTTCTGGTCTAACCATTTTGTCAGGTGTTGTAAATCCAGTGGGGTTCTTTTTTATTTTTCATTTTTGTTTGTTTGCCATTTTGATTTATGTTTATCTTCTGTGTTTATCATCAATCACTCTCTCCCACTCTTTTCTCTAAAAACATTTGACCTGTTTAACGGACAATCAATCAACCCCCCTTTTTGTGTTTGAATTGTGTCAGGTTATCGAGATCTGAGAGATAAAAAGGAAATGGCCACCGATTCAGCTAATGGACAGCACCAAGGAACAACCAAACCGCCTCCACAGCCATCCCCATTGCGTTCTTCCAAGTTCTGCCAGGTGATCTTAAAACGATTCCCAAATCTCAGCTTTTGCTGCTGATTCTAATCATCATCCAAAGTTCGCATCTTTCTATGGCATTGATTACTGGGTCGTTCTCCAAATGGGGTGATCGGTTCTCCTGCAAAATCTGTTCATTCTCTTGCAAGTGCGTTTTCATTGACGATCTCTATCGGGTTATTGTGGAATTCATGTTGGGGAGCCTTGTTTCTAACGTTTGGTTTAAGAAAGCGACTGTCTGATCTGTTAATGCATGTGGGGAATTGGGTAAAGTAGGGGTACTACAATGGTCCAACTGCTGGGACAAATTTCATAATCAATCTTTGTGGATCTGGGGTTTGTCTCGGAGATAAAAGGAACAGGGATTTTAGAGGGGTGAATTTCATTTGACCTCTGCATTGTGGAATATCTTGTTTTTGTGTTTTTCTCTTTGGTTGTCTGGTACGAATTATCTGGTTGATCAAATTTATGCGCTTTCTTAACTGTAAGTTTGCACTTTAAAGGACAATACCTCGTTTTCAGCTTTTACCTACTCATGGAGTAGGTCCAGTCTAGCCATTAAAGCAGTTGGGGTGTCGGTGGGATTGTTCCAAAACTAGTTCCTCTTATCTCTTTAGCTTCTCGTATAAAAGAGAGTAGAGGTCTTCCCTGGAAGCCAGTTCTGGTTTTAGCAGAGAAAATTTTCAGCAGGTTCCTAACATTTGATTTGGAACATATTTCTGAATGCTAAAGGTTCATGGCTTTTCCTGACTATATGCCTTATTAGACCATTGCTTAGTGTCCATGTCCTCTCCTTCTGGTTGTCTCGTGCTTTTTCTAATGATTTCTTCACCTTCCATGGCAGTCCAACATGAGAATTTTAATCACCGGAGGAGCTGGATTCATTGGGTCCCACCTGGTGGACCGGCTAATGGAAAATGAGAAGAATGAGGTTAGCCTGTTTCCTTGATTCATTTGTGTTTTGAATGGCTGAAGTTGCACTTCAATGCTTTTTCTTGTAGAAAGATTGTATTGACTTTTTTTAAGGCTGCAAGTTAGATGCCGAATAGAATTGCACTTGTTACTTTCACAAGATTGTATTCTGATAGAAGGGCTATTCCCTCATTTGATTCATGGTCAGGTAATTGTTGCTGATAACTATTTCACTGGATCTAAAGAAAATCTCAAGAAGTGGATTGGGCATCCAAGATTTGAGCTCATCCGTCATGGTAAGAGCCCTGATCCTACTCTACATTTGAGATGCAATGTTAACCTGCAGCAGCTCAAGTCAAGAGAATTATGGGGGAAAATCCAGCCTGGATGTATTTAGAATTGAATAGGGCATAGTGTCCACTGATGCTTCATGTACATGCTGTTGAGAGTTTCTTGGGTTGTTAAAACTGTGCTTTCCTTCGTTCTGCGTTCTTAGTTTATTAGGATTAGTCATAAATGCACTGTGCTTGTTTCAGGAAGTTCCATGGTTTTTTTTCTTAATAACATATTCTGTTCCTTCTGTACTTCCTCAGATGTCACAGAGCCATTGCTGGTTGAGGTTGATCAGATTTACCATCTTGCATGTCCTGCTTCTCCCATTTTCTACAAGTACAATCCTGTAAAGGTGCGTAGTTATATTGTTTTAAGAGCAGTCAATCCTTACCCTCCCTCATATGCATTATCTGAGTTTTTTGTGTTAGCAAGTTGCTTGTTTTTTTCCCGTTCTTCCAATACATCAATCATACATCTAGAGTATCTAATGCATATTCATGATTACTGCTACTTTCTTAGGCAAAGCTATGCACTTTTACACTCAGCCACCTAACACCCCTGAAATGTAGATCAAGGTCCTAGGTTGATTTCCATAATCCCTCCATTCATCCATGGAGTGATAAATTTCCTGACCAATGACCCTTGAGAAACCCGATCTTTGTTGATGCTCCAAGTTAACTAAGCATCAAAGCTCATGTGTAACATTTGATCAGGCGATTAGAATGTAGTTTTCATTTCCTGGAGTGAGCTGTCTTGATCTCTCCAACTAAGGGTCCCGGTTGTCCTTAATCCCTCCTTGTGGCCAACTATGTTTTCATTTGTATTTTGTCTATATTTATTATTCAGCAAATACCTGTGTCGTTCTATTGCTCATGTTGGGTTGTCCTTGATCTCTCTTTGTGACTGCCTATGTTTGCATTTGTATTTTATCTATATTTCTGTTTGTCAGCATATAACTGTCATTATTTTGCTAATGGTAAATGTGTATGTTGGAACAGACGATAAAAACCAATGTGATTGGTACCCTCAACATGTTGGGGCTTGCCAAGCGAGTTGGAGCTAGGTTAGAAATATTAATACTTTATAATGAAGTGATCTCTAACAAACCTTAATGCTAATGACTAATCTCTAAGTTTGGTGGAACAGAATTTTGCTTACATCAACTTCAGAGGTGTACGGTGATCCTCTTATCCATCCTCAACCAGAGACCTACTGGGGCAATGTTAACCCAATTGGTAAGAAGCTCAATCAGCTTACTGGGAAAGTGTTTCTTGAAGGAAAAAATCTCATGCAGTTTTCATTCCTTCAAAAAACTTGAATTGCATATGAGCTTATCCTTTCCATTTTGGTATTTACAGGGGTCCGGAGCTGCTACGATGAGGGGAAACGTGTGGCTGAGACATTGATGTTTGATTATCATAGGCAGCATGGGATTGGTAATGAAGTTGCTTTCTTTGGCACTGAAATATGCAGCATCAGTGTTCTCACTTCTTAACATCCAATGTTACTATGCTGCTTTTTGTAGAAATTCGAATTGCCAGGATCTTCAACACATATGGTCCACGAATGAATATCGATGATGGGCGTGTTGTCAGCAACTTCATAGCTCAAGCGATCCGGTAAATTCTTTGACCATCCATGTTTTGCTTTCACAAATTATCTCTTTTATCTTTTTTCACCTTTCTAATGATTTACTGTCTTGCTTTTTTCCAGTGGTGAGGCATTGACAGTGCAGAAGCCTGGAACCCAAACTCGCAGTTTCTGCTATGTATCTGACATGGTACAGACAAGACAAATCCCACCTGTGGTATTGAACCCCAATTATCTAAGTCTCACTTTGGATAATGCGTATTTATATGCCAGGTTGATGGTCTCATCAGGCTGATGGGAGGAGAAAACACTGGACCCATCAACATTGGAAACCCAGGTTAGTTTTACTCGTCATCAATCACTATACAAACAAATCGACACATTGCCGCATCATTTCTTTCCTCACTGAGTTCCTCTTGACTTGCAGGTGAGTTCACCATGACCGAGCTTGCTGAGACGGTGAAGGAGGTAAGCTAGTGACATTTTTTTTCTCGATTTCATGGTGGTGACTGGGTTCATATGGAGCAATCATGGTAATGTGATACTGATGGTTTGTAAATGCCAGCTGATAAACCCCGCGGTGGAGATAAAGATGGTGGAGAACACACCAGATGATCCAAGGCAGAGGAAGCCAGACATCACAAAGGCGAAGGAGTTGCTTGGATGGGAGCCTAAGGTGAAGTTGAGGGAGGGTCTACCCCTAATGGAAGAGGACTTCCGTACCAGGCTTGGGGTCGCCAAGAAGTGAACAAAAGGGTTTCATAAAAGAGAAAGAAAGACACCATGAGAAAGATTGGAGAAACTTTTCGAAGAGATTTCATTTCTATAGGGCTTGTGAAAGGTTTTTTTTTTTTTTTTAGTTCAGGGGAAGATTTTGGTTTCTTTTGTTGCTGAGAGTCAGCCATTTGATCCGAGTTCTCTCCGTTTGCACCATTCTTCATGCATAGGAAATAAGTGAGAGGAGAGGGTTTTTTGCAAAACTGGTTCATTTTCTCTTTGAGTTGGTCTTACAGTTCTAGCCTTTTGGGATGGAAATCAAATAAATTAGAGCGTTTTCATTTCGACTTTCAAGTATGTCGTTATGAAAGATAGCTATGGCATGGAAACAGAGAGTGTCTAATTGCCTGATCTCTCTCTCTAGTTTCCCTCTCTCTTCTCTTTCCTCTTTCTCTCCCCCTCGACTATCTGGATCTACACACCTTCTTCCTGATCCAATCCTTCAAGCTCATCAAACCAGAGCCTCTACAGCTGCCATCTATGGAGCAATCAATTTCTCTTGTCAACCGTTTTTCCATAGTTTGTCAATTAAGAAAAAGTCAGAGATTAGCAGGGGAGGGACGGAGAAGAAGCAGAGCATTGAAGAGGGGCTCACCCAGTCTTTATCAAGGACCAATGAAAGGAAGATCTGCACAGAAGGGCAAATCAGTGGATCAACCAATCCGCCGCCAAAACCACCTGAACGGAGGTCAATCAAAGGCCAGAGGAGTAAATATGGGAATGGCAGAGAAGATTTGGGTATCCAGGGAAGGCAAAAAGCAGAAGCAAATATTTATGGCTACCAACAGACTTCTCCTATATGGAGGAGGACAACAAAAAGAATTTATGGCAGCAGAGCACCTGAGACAGGGGGAACGAGAGAATACTTTCCAGTAATGATTAGAACTGAAGCCGGAGCAGTCATGGCACTGGAGCAAGCAAAAGAACAGAGAGTGGGTATTTATTGCGCTGGGCTCAGTCACAGGTCTCGATACACATACAAGGAGTGGAAGCTTCGAACACTTGCCGTGGGGGGAAATAGCCCGGCGGATAGCTATAACCATAAATGGAGTTTACAGGGAGTAACGGTGGGGAAGAGAGGCAGAGAGGGACAGGTGAACAAGCAACCAATGCAGGGAGCATTAACTATTTATCAGGCAACACTCCAGTTCGCCCCAGGTACCCAATCTGGCTATTTAAGGAGCGCACCGGAGAAGCCAATCTCCTCACCAAACATCCCAAAAACAGAAGCAGTGCTCAGCCAACCTGAAATAGCAAAAACTCCTTCCCAACCTCTTTCTGGAAATAGTACCAACCACAGAGACAGAGGAAAGATGGAAAATCTATCACAAAGTCTGAGAGGAGAGAAAAGCCACCTGATCCTAAATGTGAGATCGACCATTGTGGGTGCGAGAGGTAGTGGTATGTCAATGTTACTGGGGAAATGGATAACTGATGCTAGTATCAACCTTCCAAAAGCCAGGAATGCTGCCACCAACAAATGGAGGGCTTATGGGGAGGTTCAAGTCACTAAGGAAGAGGAAAACCTGTTCGTCTACTCTTTCCAGTCAGCAAATCAGAGGGACGCGGTGTATGAAGCAAGGCCTTGGAACCTAAGCAACACCTTGGTTGCCCTAAAGAAATGGGATGGAGAGCAAAAGGTCGAGGCAGCTGACATCACCACAGTCACAACTTGGGTTCAAATGCATGATCTCCCACAATCCCTGAAGGACGAGGAAGCAGTCCAGGCAGTCGCAGCTTTCATCTTCCCCCAGTTCCACTGTATTGATCGATCGAACTTCGACTTCAGAGGTTGGTTGAAGTTCGTCAGAGCGAAGGTGGAGGTGAGCATTGACGAACCCATCCCGATCGGCTTCGAATATCCAGTGGGGGACAGCGCAGTATGGGTCAGTTTCAAATATGAGAGAATAATGGATTTGTGTTATTTCTGCGGGAGACTCGGCCATCTCATCCACAATTGCATGGCTAGGGAGGACCACCGTAGGAGAGGGCTCAGTACCGATCCGTCGGAGGTGTACAATGATGCACTGCGAGCCAGGCATGACTCTCCGGCCAACACCCCGACGGCATCTTTCAGGGAGAAGATGGCAAGGACTAAGAGGCTGACAAGTCAGAGCACAGGCAGACAGCAGATTCGCGGTTCCCGAGGGGAATCTTCTCAAGTCACTCTCACAGGCCTACCTTTACAGGGCCCTTTCCCTTACCCACCGGGCTACGCCATCCTGCCAAGCAATGGGAGATCAACTGACTGGGTTTACAGAGGAGATGGAGTCAACCCGACAAACACCCTGCAATCTGCTGTTCTGGAGCTGGACATGGAGGCGACGACCAGAGCGATGCAGAGGAGTCTGGATCTTGGGGGAAGAGATAGGGATCATGACAAGATGGCGGGCCTCTTCGAGATGGGCCAGTCGCTTTCTCTGGCGAGCCCGTCTTTCATTCCTACGGAGGCCTCGCCTAGCCCATCAGCAATGGATCAACTGAGTCAGGTGACCAACAATCAGGCCCAATTCCAAAGCCCAGTTCCAACGGCTCTTATGCCAAATAGTGAGGAAGCTGTGACCAGGCCCGAGAAGAAACGGAAGCCCGAAGATCGCACCACCCAGCCCACCCCAACTGAGCAACAGGATATTCCCACTAACTTGTCTTTTGAATCTCTGTCTTTTGTACCAGGGGAAAATTGTCGCATTTACCAGAGAAGGAAGCATGGCATCAGAAAGAAGAGTCTGGCCGATATCACGGCGGAAGGGTGCCAGTCGGGCGAAGGGGAGTCAGTCACTCCGACGGCAGCGGCGGCAAGCCATAGGCCGCCTCCTCAAGAATGAGGATCCTGAGTTGGAATTGTAGGGGGTTCGGCCAACCCCTTACAAGGAGCTACTGCGGCAGACTCTGTCGCCAATTCGGCCCGTCCGTGCTGTTTTTAATGGAAACCAGGAAAGAAGACTCCTTTATGGAGGAGAAGAAAAGACAAATGAAGTTTCCCCATTCTGATTATGTTAGCCCTGGAACGGAAGGCAGTGGGTTAGCGCTTTGGTGGAAGGAGGATGTTGATGTAGTTGTGTTGGATTCCTGTAAGTCCTTTATGGACACTAGCATCAGTTGGAACGGAGTCAAGTTTTTTTGCACTTTCATCCATGCCCCTACCACGGCGGTAGAGAGGAACGCTCTGTGGGATCGACTTACGAACCTTAGAGCGAATCAGGATGAAAGTTGGCTTGTTGTTGGTGATTTGAATGTAGCCCTCTCCCCTTGTGAAAAACAGGGACGCTGTCCCCTTAGGAATGAGAACGTCAACCCTTTCAAGTATTTTATTGCAAGGAATGCTTTAATGGGCCTCGGTTTCTCGGGGCAAATTTACACTTGGAGCAACAAACAGCAAGGTCAGAATCTCATCAGGGAAAGGCTCGACAGAGCCTTGTGCTCAGTGGCATGGAGAACAGAGTTTGAGGCGACCACTGTTTTTCACGAGGACTTCGTGGAATCAGACCACTGTCCAATTAGAATTGACCTCCATCCAAGAGGACGTGGTCCACTGGTCCCATTCAGATTTGATAAGAGATGGCGTGAGAGTGAGGAATGCTCCCAGATAATACAGAGAAGTTGTGATAAAGGGGGCCTGGTCCAAGATATTCTCGCTGACTGCCAGGAGGAACTGGAAGCTTGGGCCAGTAATGAAAGAAAGATTAAGCTTAAGAGAGAAAAGGAGATAAGGAAAAGATTACAGGTGCTACAAGGGACTAATCGATTTACAGATGTGGTTAATGAAGAGAGGGAGCTCCATCTTGAATTAGAGAAACACTGGGCATCGGAGGAAAGCTTTTGGGCCCAGAGATCGAGGGTCTCGTGGCTTCAGGAGGGAGATCAGAACTCAGGCTTCTTCCACTCGAGCACAATATCAAGGAAGAACCGAAATCGCATTATGAAACTTAAATTGGATGATGATACTTGGATCACGAATGCTACTGATTTGAGTAACCACGCAAAGGAGTTCTACTGCTGTCTTTTCACTAGCAGGAATGGTATGCTTGATCCTAGCATTCTGGAAGGCTTCCCCTGTCTGGTTACTGAGGAGGCGAACAGAATGTTATGTGCGCCAGTCGAGAGAGAGGAGATTCGAAAAGCTGTTTTTCAGTTGGGAGCTAACAAGGCCCCGGGACCAGATGGTTTCCCAGGGATGTTTTTCAGGAAATACTGGCACATCTTGAGTGACAAGTTCTGCCACGAAGTCACCTCTTTCTTCCTGACAGGTGTTTTGCCGGATAAATGGAACGAGACTTTCATTACTATCATCCCCAAAGTCGATGCTCCAGAAAGCATGGGTCAATTCCAACCAATCAGTTGTTGCAACTTTCGATACAAGGTTATCACAAAAATCATGACTAACAGACTGCAACCGTGGTTGCCAGGTTTGGTGAATGAATTACAAGCAGCTTTCACAGGGGGAAGACAAATTCAGGACAACATCATTATTGTCCATGAAGTGCTCAACTACCTCAAGAAACTCAAAACTGGTATCAAAAAACAGATGATGCTAAAGTTGGATATGAGAAAAGCCTATGATCTGGTTGAATGGGATCTGTTAATCAACCTCCTCCGAGCTTATGGATTTAATGAGTTGTGGTGTGGATGGATTCAGTCTTGTATCTCTACTGTCAGTTTCAAATTACTGTTCAATGGAGAGCCCTCGGCTGAGTTCAGACCTTCTCGAGGGATTCGACAGGGTGACCCCCTCTCCCCCTGCTCTTCATCCTCCTCTCAAATGCCCTCTCCTTCCTTATTGAGAAAGCAGTCTACAAAAAAGATATCAAGGGTATCAAATTGAACCGACATTGTCCTACTCTCTCACATTGCCTTTTTGCAGATGACACGGTTATTTTTGGTGAAGCTTCTCCGGAAGAGGCAGGGAATATCTTGGATATTATCAACAATTATGGGGCAGTGACGGGACAGGAAGTCAACAAGGAAAAATCATCAATTTTCTTTAGCTCCAATGTGTCCACGGACGAACAGGGAACCATTATCCAGAGCTCGGGTTTCAATTCAAATACTAGTCATTCCACTTATCTCGGAGTTCCTACTCAATGGGGAAGATCAAAGAAAGAGACTTTCAACTTTCTTATTCAAAGAATGGAGAAGAAAGGGGAGGCATGGAAAAGCCTGCTTCTCTCCCCAGGTGGTAAGGAGGTCCTGCTGAAAGCTGTGTTTCAAGCTATTCCTTCCTATATTATGTGCCTTTTCCTTCTCCCTAAACCTACAACAAAGAAAATGGACTCGATGCTGAAAAGTTTCTTCTGGGGAGGGTCGATGAGCAAGAAGACTATCCATTGGAAGGCTGGACATGTTCTTTATGCCCCGAAAGAGGAAGGGGGACTGGGTTTCAGACCTTTTCACATTTTCAACTTGGCTCTGCTGGCAAAACAAGCCTGGAGGATGCTGACTAACAAAGAAGCTTTGTGGGTTCGGGTCCTTAAGAGCATCTACTTCCCAAAAACAGACTTCCTGAATGCTAAGAAAGGAGGTAAAGCCTCATGGATCTGGTCTAGTCTGTGTGAAGCAAAGGTCTGGATGGGACAAGGAATTATCCGTGTGATTGGTAATGGCAGAAATACAAAGGTTTTCCAGGACCCCTGGAGAAGAGACAGAGCAGGCCCCCTCCTTGATTTTGAATGGCCAGACCAGACTACAGCGGATAATTGGATTGATGACGTCTCTAGAGAATGGAAATTCGATGTGCTTGCCAATTTTCTCAGCCCCCAGGACTTAAAACAAGTGGCAGCTGTTCCCATCGGACCGGAGACGCTGGATGATTTCTGGGCTTGGCGGTTTACTGAACAGGGCAAGTTCAGTGTCAAGTCAGCCTATTACCACTTTCATAACCGTAGCAGATCTACTCAAGGAATTAGGCAAGAGGTCTCGGAGGCGGAAAAAGGAATGTGGAAGTGGCTGTGGAGCTTAACAATCCCTCCGAAACTGAAATTTTTTGTTTGGAGAGTTGCAAAGGGGGCTCTGGCATCAAGGGAAAACCTCTTCCGGCGAAGTTGCTCCCCTTCCAGGTCATGTCCGATTTGTGCGGACCCGTCGGAGACAATTCATCACGTGCTGTTCACCTGCCCTCACGCAGTTGAAGGATGGCAAAAGGAATGGCCATCTCTGCCCTGGCCCACTCCTAACACTCCTGTCATGGAATGGTTGTTTGCCCTAAAACCCAGGTACTCTGTTTTCTCGATCCAAAGAATCATCTTCCTCCTTTGGCAGATTTGGAAGGCAAGAAATGAACGAGTGTTCAAGAATACAAGCCCTTGGCCCCCTTCCACATGTGCAAAGGCAAATGTGGCTCACCTCCATTGGATCTCCTGCCCCAGAAAACGGACCCCTACTCCCCCTGCTCCTCAGCTAACCCATATACCGAATCTTTCTTCACCACCGCCAAGTACTCATGATATTGAGTTACACTGTGACGGCTCCTTCTTCAGTGAGTCACAGGAGGCGGCATATGGCGTGGTTGTCTCGAACAGCCACGGTCAAGTCTGTGACGGTAGAGCTGAGATCATGCATTGCTTTTCACCGCTTGAAGCTGAAGCTAAGGCGCTTCTGGAGGGCGCGCGACTGGCGGCCAGCCTTTCCACTCCTTGCCTAGTCAATTCCGATTGTCTCCCCCTGGTGAATGCCATTCAAGATTGCTCAGGCTCATGGCCCTGGAAGGCAGCAGCATGGATTGGCTCCATCAAACAGATTTTGGGGGCTAATCCTCTGATTCGGATCAAGCATATTAGGCGTAGGAACAATTGTAAAGCAGATTGGGTTGCTAGATCTTGTGCCAAGAGAACTCTACCCTCACAATGGGTACAGATTCTCGATGTTGTTTCCCCCCTGCTGTAACAATTTGCTTCTCAAAGCTAATGAAATGCAATGTCCTCTTGTCAAAAAAAAGTATGTCGTTGATATTTTATCTATTTTGCTTTTAAACCTATAGCTCTTTTACATTGGGAAATGGGAAGCATCTAGTATCGTTTTCATGACAATGGAGCATCTACTATAGTAATCAGATTATGGTCCTCGTACTACAATCTCCAACATTGTTCACTTGCTATATTTCCATGAATGATTTGGTATCAAAAGATCGTAGACCAAATTGTAGAAATGGTGTTTAGTCTAAATTATATAGTATTGGCTGGTCACCCCGTTATTCGATCTTGGATCGTAATTATTAATTATACCCGAGGTCCAATTACTATTCACACATCGATATGCGAATTGGGCTGCCAATCGTGGGCTACATCCTACGCTTCATGATTTCTCTTATCTAGTCTGTTTTTTAGTCGACAAGTGAGAGTGCTGATTTCTTGTAGCCTCTCTTGTCCTTAACGTTTAAATCTTAAAGGAATTTTTTTACCAAAAAAATCATACTATTTTTCAACCCTAATTTACTTGTTATAGACTGTTCTCTCAGTCATTTTCAGATGACTCATACTTCCCAATCATAATTTCAGTCATTAACCCGTGAAAAGGTAGGCTTTGAAGTGGTATCATTTGCCTTGGTTGAACTAGAAATGTTTCTTTTTCAGTTATTTAAACTTCACACGTTATTGGGAAGAATAACAACCACAATAAGGCCTATTAACATAGCATAGAAATCGCTGGGTTTGAAAGGGTGGATGCAGGGAGAGAAGCGATCATCGTGCTCTGATCTTGCTCAAGCTGTCAAGGAACACATACTCAAATGTAAAATCTTGGGCACCAACTGTTTCAATACCGATCAAATATACCTTACAGAATAACCAGGCTCAGATCAAGAAATAGAACATCTTGTGTTCTATTCATTTCAAGTCAAGCAGTAGCTGAAAAAACATAATCACAGCTAGAGTTTGTAGAAAATTCTCTCATGTTATTATAAACGAAGAAAAACTAGAGGTGCTTCTCCCATCAAGCAACCAGCGGGCGTAGCAACTGCATGCGGATTCCTCCAGCATTTAGCTACAAAACATATCAAAACACAAGATAATATCAATGAGATTCAGTTCAGCAGCCGAAGCAAATCTATGGACATCCATACTTTAGATTATCAAACCAAAACAACCTTTCCCCACCTCCCACAAAGCTGAATCCATTACCATAGGTAAGAGAAGATGCACACGATAAACAGGCCATGGCATATCGCCAATACATCAACCATATGATGGTGTAGCAGAACTCAGTAAACCAATTATAAACTTACACCCTACGAGGACAGACTCCGAGTCTCTTAACTATTGAGACAATAATTAAAAAACGCAGAACGATTTTAGAGCGCGTTTGAGCAAGAATCAGGATTATGGAACTCCGATTTGCTTTTAATAGGCACTCAATGCAATCCAATCCCGCTTGTGACTCGACTACTGATTGATTTAATCTCCTAACCGTCTGCATGCACATAATGAACGATCGCAGCAGTCCATTATAGTATGAAGTTTCATAGAATAGTGTCTCCTCAATATGCAAATGCACAGATCTTCAAACAAAAACAGAAACACACTTATCCAATTATGGCTAACTCCCAATTCCAACCCACTCAGAAAACAGACACTCCCAATTGGTAATGTCTACTAAGCAATCACAAGATCAAAACCAACAAACATTGGCAATTGGACGGGGCTCTCAAGAAGGAACAAGAAAGCCCTCATCAGATCAAATCGTGTTAGCTATTCAGATGGTATAAACAGGCCTATCAACCCCACTAACCGCAGAAGAAAGTGCGGAACCCTACACATATAATTTACAGCTTGTAATCACATTTCCACCCAACTCAAACTGAAAAGCAAAATCAAAGAAGCTATTTTCTACCAGATCTTGAACCGGTTATCTATTTTCGACATCTACACAGCAATCGGACACTGAAGCATGCAACAATAGGGTATTATAAGGTTGGAAATCTACCTCTTGTGCCTCTGGACGAACTTGGAATTCTTGGCGTCCTCCTCTGCGAAATCATCAATCCAATGAACAGATTAGGGTAAAGAAACTATAACCAATGAAACAACACACTATGGAACCGTAACAAAGCCAGCCGCCACGAAAATGAAACAAATCGCGTAGATCGAGAAATCGCACCAGTGAGGCCGAGGGACATTTTGGTGATGATGGTTCCGGTGACGGCGAAACCGACAAGGAACGGCCAGTTGCGATTCCATTCTCGCTTGAAGAAAACTGGCCACGGGTCGAACAGCCTCACCATTTTCTCTCTGGATCGAATTCTCTGAATTTTCCTCCCGATGTTCGATTCTACGCTCTTCGTGAAAGTCTCGAGTTGTGCTGAAGGTAAGCCGATGGGATTATATTTGCCCCAGAAATCAGAATCGATGTTTTAGGTCGGGACTCTGTTGTGGGCTTGTGGGCTCCGAACCGATTACAACTCTCCCGGGCTCCAGCAACGATATCCATGATCCAATAAGGGCTTAATTGCAACCGATTTGGATTAGGCTAAGAACTATCAGGCGTTATCCGGTGGGCCCTTAGATCTATAGGCCTTTTTTGTCATAGATAGAATAAAATAGATAGTTAGAGAACAACGACCAAACGTGGCAGTCGACAAATATTCGGACGGTTGAATGTTAATAAAAGGGTTTTTTGTGCCACTAAATAGGCTTGTTGTACCTTGGTGGAGTAAAAGCACAAGAAAAAACATAAAAAGAAGAAATAGCCACACGAATCTCCTCCATAATTGTTCCACCGTATCCATGTGAACATGTGCAACATTCCGCTCCCGAACAATCCGAATCAAAGTTTTTCAATCCCTTTGCTTTCACTTTTAGAAATTTTCGATGATGGTTTTTTCATATGAGATATCTAACTTATGGTTTTATGAGTGTTATGTTAGCTGATATTCTACTACATTGTTGGATTTGTTCGGTTTCTCAGAGGTTCTTCTGGATGAAGGCATATTCTTTTTGGGTCTTGCTCATTTTTCCTGTTTTTTTATTCTTTGGATTTTTATAGAGATGCCCAATTAATGGCCCAAACTCTTTCATTGGTAGTTCGATTGCACACGAACTATCGCTTATGATTCTTTTCAGTATTGTATTTGAGTTGTTAGACTATGCCCATCGGGCTTATCTTGGGTAAAAGAGCATGTATTTGATGGAGTTTAACGAATACATTTTTTGTGATATTGTATTATTGACTTATCTCGTGCTTTTAGTTTGTTTGAAGTATCCTCCAATAGTTCAAAGCATTTAGCTCGAGTTGTGATAGTTTGAAGAGTTTGAGCTGTGATTGTAGGCTTTTGTTTTTGAAATTCCAAATTTCTCCAACTATCTGTGTGATTGTGTTGGGAACGTAAAAAGAGCTCATTTACGGTGTTTACTCACTATCCATTGCAGGTTGGTACGACTTATTTGTGGTTATCTGCAATCGAATCTCAAAAAGTTATGTGAAACCAAAAATTCATTACAAACAAACAATTGAGCGCAAAATTACGACAGTTAAAAGTGTTGAAGTAGTTAATTAGGTGTAGATCATAAGAGTGTCCAGCGATCCACCTAGGTTTGGTGTCGTTTGCTGGGTCTGACAGCAATCCACCTAGGTTTGATGTTGTTAACTTGGTTCGACAGCGATCCACCCTAGGTTTGGCATAGATCATGCTTGTGAGCCTGACCCGCCCTTGATCACCCTATACTCCAACGAACAACATGTTGGTTCGGGATGAGATACCGTCACAACCCCCTTAGGGTTGTGAGACTGACAACCCATTTTATAACAATAGGATCCATTCTCTCTCTTGTCTTTTTCCTCTTTTTTACTAATTGATGGTACAGTCGTACAGATTGGATTAAGGGTATTTTTTTACGAAAAAAATTGACCACACTAGATTATTACCTTTATTAATTTACTCAAAACCCTACATTCTCTCTTTCCTCTCTCTCATGCCATCGCCACCTTATTCTTCATATTCTTCTTCTTCCTCCCATCTCCTCCCTCTCTCTCTCTGCCGACTGCCGTCGACACCGCCACAGCCCTCTCGTCAACCCGTCGCGCCCTCCGCCTCCCACCACCGCCGCAACCCTCTCGTCACCCTGTCGCGCCCTCCGCCTCCCACCACCACCACAACCCTCCCGCCGCAGTCATCACGGCCTCCGCCACCCACCATCGTCAGGCCATCACCCTCTCCCCATCGCAGCCCTCCCGTCGCCCGCCGTCTCCCATCACAGCCGCTGCGGCGAGGTCACCGCCTCTCCCCTGCCTCCCCCTTTCCTCATCCCCCGATTTTTTTTCCAGATCTGTGATTTATCATATTTCAGATCTGTTTTTTTTTTTTTTTTGTGTTAGTCTCTAGTGGTAGCGTACCACTAGTCGAGAATGAAATATCACTACCATTAGCGCAGTGACGAAGTGGTACTTTTTTGAAGGTGGCCTTAGTGAGTATGATCGAAGGATTTCACAAGAAAAAAGTCTGCCGATCGGAGAAATTTGACGGTCGAAGCGGAGAGGCTGCTGGAAATAGAAGAGAGAGATAGAGAAATATATAAATGTATTAATTATAGGGTTTAGATTTTTTTTTAAAGCATGTATTTCATATGGATTTTTAATTCTCAATGTGTAACTAAACAAAATAATTAATTTTTTTTTTTTTTTATACCCAAAATACCCTTGGTTGTGAATCTCACAATCCTCTTGGGGGAAGTGATCGTATCCCACCCTTGTTGGTTTGCTAGATAGTCCAACAAACTGCTTCGAACTCTAGGGTTTTGGAAAATATTTAGCAAGTATATTCGGGATAGGGGGCATAAGGTACCGGTAGTTGGCTCAGTTTTATATATTGAGGAGTCATAGCAGTACAACTTGTTATTGTCGGATGTTGTTGGGATCTCCGAACCTCAGATGATTAATAATATGGGTTAGCGCTCGTCTTTTCACCCAAAAAAAATCAACACCCACCACTACCGTCTGCCCGCTTGGCGAGCCACTAGTTCGCTGAATTGGATCTCCCCCGTGATTTTAATAATGTACTTATCCATTGTTTTCCGCCTTTTTCTCCAACTAATAACAAATAGCTCTCAGTGCTACTTTTTTAAGTTCCACTTTCTGATCCTTCATCTTTCCCTTCCCGATCTGGATACACATTGAAATTACTCCGATACAGGTCGCCTCCCGGGCCACATACCAGTTTTCCGCTGGAGTCTTTCACCTACTTCAAACAGTAAGAAAGAGAAGGCTTGTTCGCCTACTGATACGAGTACGGATCGTGTACCCGTAGTTATCAAAGTAACGCAGCAAAGAACATGGATAAAACGATAGGGATAGGATGGAATTGAAAGTGAAATCTCAACACGATATCGGGAGAAGGCTCAATCAATATAGAAAGGTAGAATCTCGACCACAATCAAGGGGGAAACTTGATTGATACAGAGAAAAGGTCAAGCCTCAGGTTCAAAACCAAGGTAAAAATCAATATTCTGCTAAAAACTAACCTTAAAACCCGAGTCTCAACCTTTATATAGGTCTGGAAAATTAAAAAAAAATAACAAAAATAAGGAAACCCGAAATTTGGAGTAAAAGCAGTCCCGATCTCTCGGCCGTGAGATTAACTGTCTTCTGAACACCTGCTTCACTGATCTCACGGCCAGAAGTCACGACCATGAGACATGGCCGGGTATTTGGCCTGAAATAGCCCCAACACCAATGATCATCACTTCTCATCCCATGACCAAGTCGGCTTCCATATTGGTGAAGTTCTAGGCTAAATAAGGTTGAAGTCGTCCCTTGAATGCCTTCTCCTTGCCTTCTTGTCTTCGTCTTTGCCCCCGTTGGAGACGCCATTGGGCTCGCATCACCTACAGTGTCCGGCTGTTGATGGGAATGCAGAGCAACAACGCCGTTGTAATCGAGAAAGGGAAGAAGGCTGGAGACCCTCACCTCATCACCGTTAATTGCCCTAACAAGACTGGTTTGGCGTGCGATATTTGCAGAATAATTCTTGACTTTGGGCTATACGTCACTAAGGGAGTTATGGTCTCGTCAATGCCCTACGATTTTGATTGGTTTTTAGTTTTTCTTCTAATGGAAGGATTTCATGTGAAAACGAGTATAATCAGTTTGCATCTCTTACCAACAAGCTTTTATATTTCTGGGGTTCTTTATTGCCATAGCCTCTAGTTTCTGCCTTGCTATATTTGTGCGTACAGCCTCACTTTTCTCCGAACTTGGGACAATTAGCCTTACCACAAGAGTTGTGTCTAGGGAAGGAAAGAAAATGGACTTTATTCAAAGCCATGGAGCCTTGTACTTCTTACTTCTCTGAAGATCCCACACTTATAATTGAGAGTATCCATTTTCATTTCATTCTTTTGTCGGCATTCTCTTAAGAATCAGCTCAATATGATAATATGAACATAAAATGAACTTTGAGTTCTTTGCAGAACAAGGATTTTAATTGCATAAAATGAACTTCGTCTCTCCTTATTTCGCTGGACAAAATTTCGTGTAGATTTGCTAACAATAGCATAACTGTTGTCTACATTGAGGCCAGAAATACTTGCATCAACTTCGACTTCCTGGTTCTTGTCCCGAAATATATTTCTTTGGTAGCCAGTGCCTACGAGTCTTTTCAAGTCATGATGAGAGTGGTATAGCAAACATTTTCTGGATGAGTCTAGGACTCTAGGTAATTGGGTAATGATGTTGGATTTTGGCTGCACTTCCTTTGTGAAAGTTGTTGAAGGGTTTAATACTCGAAACAAGTGTTGATTTTGTAGATGAGCATTCACCTTTTTGTTCCTTCTACCTAGATCTATGTTGCATTTTGGCTTTAGAAGGATGAAGCAGTGTTTCTTTCTTGTAGATGTTCGATCGATGGGAACTGGTGCTACCTAGTGTTCTAGGTAGTACCTAATTTACGCATAGTCATAAGATGGTCAAGTTTGAAGAATCGTCTTCTATATGCTTGTCCATCATGTGTGATTTCATTCCTTTTACCTCACCAGCTGATGCAATCGAAATGTTCCCCAGTTTACCTATTGAAGTTTTGTTGCCTTGACCGAAAAGGATTACTACATGGTAATGGCTGCTGAAGTCGTTCTGTAATTGTCTTGTTATTGACTACCAAATGTGGAGTGTGATTCTAATGTTACTGTTCAATTTTCAAGATGTTACACAGGTTCTCTCGGAGCTTGAGCTCACAATACAAAGCGTAAAAGTTACAACAACACCAGATGGCAGTGTCCTAGACATCTTCTTCATAGCAGATAACATGTGAGAATTTGTTTGGCGCTCTTTGATAGGGATTCAATTTATGTTGGGTCAAAGGAAGGATCTTTTTAGCTTAGTTTTGTTAAGTGGAACCTTTTTCTATCAACCATGACAGGAATTAAAAGTTTGCCCTGTGATACAATATTTTTCCCCCAGAGAGCTTCTCCATACAAAGAAACGACAAGATGAGATCTGTGAAGAACTGCATGTTGTGTTAGGCGACTCATGTGTCAGCTGTAAACTTCAGTTGGCAGGTCCTGAATATGAGTGCCATCATGGCCTGACTTCTCTTTCTCCAACTATTGTTGAGGGCTTATTCCACCATGAGATAACAGAGAGAAATTCACATACATGCTCTCAGCCCTTACTTGCTAAAATTGAAGAGGGCCAACGTAACAGTAGACAATTCATTGAGTCATGTTCACACATTGCTTCAAGTACACTACCTCGATCACAAGGGTCTATTGTATGACGTCTTGAGAACATTGAAAGACCGCCACATCCAGGTTATAGATCGCATTCTCTACCTTACAAATTCATGGCTTACTAGTTGTGAATGTACTAAATGGGGTTGTGTTTCATCCCCCCCCCCCCCCCTACATCTTATCCAGATAGCTTATGGAAGATTTTTGCGGGACACAAATGGTCGTTGCGATCTAGACCTCTTCATCCAACAGAAGGATGAGAAGAAGATTGTGGACTCGGAGAAGCAAAACGGACTATGCTCCCGTCTCAGGGCAAAAATGCTTCATCCATTGCGAGTGATCATCACAAGCAGAGGGCCTGATGCTGAACTTATAATGGCAAACCAGTCGAGCTATCCGGTAAAGGAAGACCGAGGGTGTTCTATGACGTCACGCTTGCTCGAAAAGCACTTGGGATTTGCATATTCTCGGTAATAAGTTTCTTCCATTTTTTACACGACTAGGAATGCCTACGCAAATATTATCTAACGCTACTGCAGTCTTGGTTGCTTAGGCTGAAATAGGAAGACATTCAGCGGGTGATCGTGAATGGGAGGTGTACAGGTTTCTGTTGGACGAGAACTGCAGGTTTCAACTCTCGAGCATGGTGGCTAGGAATCATATTGTAGATAGAGTCAGAAGGACACTAATGGGATGGTGAGTTGTTTTGATCTCTGCAAAACTGGAGAGTTGCCCCCGTTTTTATGTATTCGTTTATATCCATTTGCATAAAGCTACATGTATGTATGTAAATAGTAGTTCATGACTTCGTATGTTCTTTTGGTTCTCTTATCCTTTCATGTTGATCCAAGCCTGAGTTGAGGAATGGTAAGGGGATTATTGAGGAAAATCACCAATATATCCAATCTTACATATTTTGTCACTTGGCAATTGGCATCCCTTTATTTGGTGTCTCCTTTTATTTTTTTCTTTCCTCAATAATCTCAATGAACTCATAACTCACTCATTTGAAATTAGATTTTAAATTTTAGTGAAATTAAATTGTATTTATCATGATTTCTAAGCTTCAAAATTAGAAATTTCAAACCATCTTATTAAGGTGTAAATGGTGAGTCCTTCAACTCTTAGTGTAAAACCAAAATGTAAATGTCCGATAGAAGAAGCAAAGCTCAATGGATGGTTACTATAGTGGTTTGCATATGCTATGTTATATAATCTTTGCACAAACAAGCCCTTGGTAAATTTGGGATTGGGGACTATTTCAACAAAGAATTCTCATTAGCCACTCTTCATTCATCGGCCTGAGAAAGTATATTATCCAAGCACCTAGCCAGCCACGTATAAAAAACTAGGGTGTCAAGCATGATATCATCCAAAGAAAGTAGGCACGTGGGAGTAGAATTTAGCTAAGTGTTTCAATGTATCAATTGATCTGCATAGCAATAGGAGGGCTAGGGTGTGAAGCAAGCTACAACAAGCATCAAGCATTGGAGGAGCGGTTATAAAGAGGCGGTTACACCTGATGGCCATAAATTGTAGAAACAAATACTAGAAAATGGTTATGCAACCAAACATATGACACCACATGCCAAACTTTATCTTTTCTCTCCGATGTAGTTATAGTCATAATCCTTAGTTTCTGGAGCTCTCAGTGAACCTTCATAGGGGCAGGAGTAACGCAACTTAGTTTGTTCTAAAAAACCATCAAAACACCCTCGTTTAAACATTGTTATAAGAAGTATGAAACATATCATTGTCGTTGTTCGGAAAATCAAAGGTGTATTCATTGATTTCATTTTACAAAAATTTCCTCGCCGAAAAACACAATGTCATAACGTTTATTCAACCATCATGGAACACCTAAGAGCATTCATATCAATGAAATTATACATGCAATTGCAATTGTGTTTTTTGTTCCCGCCTCAACTTTTTTTTCAATCCAACTCATATTACTTTCATTGTATCACATCAATGCAATTAACTTACAATTGCAATCGGTTTTATAATTTTAATTTAATTAAATGTAGACACTTAATTAATGAATAATTTAATAATAAAAAGGTGACATGACTTGCATTCTATAATTGCATTACAAGCTTGAAAAATGCATTTGTTATCTACATTAATGCAATTACATAATACAATTACAAATTAATATCATATCATAATACAATTTCATATGCAATTTTTATGTAGATGCTCTAATACGGGATTCAAGGATTTTGAATGTCGCAAGTGATGTAAGCATCTAACCGGATTGCAAGTGGGCTAGTGATATCAATTATCGTGGTCCATGGAGAACGTGGTGATTGGCGACAACTTACATGATCCTGATATCCATCATCCACCGGCTTACCGTTCGTCCACCGACGTTGCGTCGCGTACAAGATAAACATCCAAACACCAAAAGGCTACTCCATCAAATTCCGTTTTATCCAAACACCCAAAAAAAAAACCGCCACGACACCACTTCCCACTGCCACGACGGCTCTCATTCGCTCTCCCGGCACCACGTGTCCCCTCCCTGCCCAATCACAATTACACGATCCTAAATTAAACATTTAAATACTCTCTTCTTGCCCTCACCCCGTTACGCCAGTCTCGTTGTTATAATTGTAAACTGTAATGTGAAAATTACGTTTGGCGGTAAAGCATTTCCACATTAATCAGGCCCCGGCCAAACCGCGTTCCAATCTCTCTCTCTCTCTCTCTCTCTCTCTCTCGCTGTGTTACTGTTTCAATTATCTGGAAGAACGATCGCCGACGGACGGAGGGGGGAATTGGAACTTTTTTTTTTCCCTGGTGACGGTCCCGATCCTGATTTTGATTAGGGTTACGGGATGTGGGGATCAGATCAAATGCTTCTTTGATCGCGCCTCTGCTTAAATTTCCCCTCTCAGCTTCGATAGAATCGATTTCCCCCAACCATGTCGGAAACCGCTCCTCCTCCATCATCAACTCGGAGTTGCGCTTATCTCGATGCCCTCACTCTCGAAATCGAGAAGAAGCTCCAACGGGTTCCTACTCTTCCTCCCTTTCTCTCTCTCTATCTCATTTCTCTGTTTTCGTTTCTCGCAATTCCTCCTCTCCCTAGGGATGGACGGAAGTGCGGTTCCTGGGAATCGAGCTGCTGATTCTCGGATTCGCCTCCGTCCTCGAAGAACGTATTGTAGTTGGGATTATCTTAGTGGGGAATTGTTGATTTCGAGATGAAATTTTGACTATAAATTGGATCAATTTGTGATAATTGAGATGGAAGGGCCAAAGAATTGGAAGCAACTGTGATTTTGTTGATTGGTAGCTTCGCCATTGATCGGTTCTTCTTTTTTCTTTTGTTTCTGGTTTAAGCTTAGTGCTGGAGTCACGGTTTGCATTTAACTTGTTTCAGGCACTAGCTTCCTCGTCTCAGAGACTCAACTTGTTGCAAGAGCTGTTCGCCGACATTGCTTTGGAAGTTGATGAGCGGGCCAAAGGTTAGTGCATGCAGGAATTTCCTACTGGGTTTCCGGGTTTTTTCCTGTATTTCAGTTACATAACAATGGCAATCTGGGAATAAAATGTTATGTAGACAAGCTAATTAGTTATCAGCATGAAAAGTTTGCATGTGACTTTGCCATAAAGGCCTGCAACTCTGGCACTTTTGGAGTTAATTTCATTTTTGGGACTACTTGCAAAAATATGTTGACGGTTACAGAGTTCAATTGCCATAAAGTTATGAACTTGGTTTAGGTGTTTGCTATTTTGGTAAAAGCCTTTGGTTTAGCATTCTCATTCTTTGCACTGGAATTGAACACAGATATTATTCTCGGCAGGGAAGAAGATGCGATTTCTCCTGACAAGGATGGCTCTGCTACCGAATTGTGCTTTTACAATGTGCTTGCTGATTACTATGTCGAGGCGCCTGAAAGTGGGAAGAGAATCCTTGATCTGATTGTCCTTCTCTGGAGTCAGTCATTTGCATCACATATATTTGCACTTCTGTTTCATAAATGGGTAAGTTCACCTTGCTGTATGTTCTGTAACCACTGTTTGGATTGAACCTCTTCTGCTGGCCACTGGCAGTTGGATTGATTGATTAAAAATGGAACAGACATCTCGTGAACCATCGAAATTTCATCGATAACTTCCTGGGAGCTTGGCTAAAACTGAAGTGTTAACAGATGATAATTCTCTACTTGCTGACTACTTATTGAAGCTTCTCAACTATATCAGAATTGTTTCATAGTCCTGATAATCTAAATTGTCCCTTACCGGGTTCTCTGTGTCTTGATAGAATGGAATGATATATCTAGGGTCGGTGAATCCATAGGCTGGTTATGACTCATAAGAACCATCTAAGGGAAACATTTTGAGGTGTTTGTTGGGTCTGCTTTTGTCACTGAATTTGTGTTCCCAGAGTTTCTGAAACTGTATACTCCAGAATCTAGATGCATTAGGCTCCTTCCTGACTGGATCCGGCGGTTGGTAGGGAGGCTAAATTCAGGGCTAGATGCTCTATTTAGCATAACGTTTACCCTCTTTCAGGGAGGGAAGATTTTCTATACTGGAACTAGAAATAGCTCTTTTGCAACTTATTTCTTTGATAAATTTGTTGGTTCCTCACTAAGAATGGAATTTATTTCACGAAATTATGACTGATACTACTTATTGTTTCCTGCAGTTATTTGATGCACAACTGGACAGCAATGAGGTGCTTCTTCGTTACTCATCTGCTCTTGTTCAAGGTGCTACTAATGTTTTCTGGTATGATAACCAGCCTTCTATATTGATTATTCTTGCTTCTTGTTGGGTATAGAATCACTTACTATCAGCATCTAATGCTGGAGAACCCGCCAACCACCATCAACATTCTTGTATGATGTGCAATTGGTACATATAGGGGACAATATCCCATTCTTAGTTTGTGCTCATCCTTCAAAACCTTTGCCATGGATGTGGAGAAGGAAGAGTACAAATTACTAGGTTAATTCTTTCCTACGAGGAAGATGCATCATTTTCGTGCTGTTTTACTTTGACTAGGGGCTGATATTTAACTGATGATATAACTCTTACTCTTCATACTGACTTGGGGTCGATTCTTGAACCATGCTGCTGCTTCTCATCAATAGATAGTGAATATGTAGCACATGTTCCATCATACGGAAAAGTGTGATTGTTGCTCTCTCTGCTGTTTTCCATTCCAAGTACCAACTGCGTGATTGACAGTAAAATAAAGAACTCTCTTAACTGTTCCTAGCTTTCATGACCAGGATTGATATTCAAACAAACACAAGGCGTTTCCAGACTCTCTTTCATGTAAGTCATTACAACCAAGGATTCTTTAAATTAAATTAAGTAGTTTGTCTTTCAAATATTTGTTAACTTGTCACCAGATATTTCAGCTGCCCTTTGTTGTTGGTTTCAGTACCTCCTCAACGAAGTGGCACTGGAGCCGTCGCGGTTGAATAAAATTCCAGTACAGGTCTGGCAGCGTTGATGCTATCTACACTTCCTTGAAACTAGCGATCATAATAAAATTGTGTAAATAAAGTATTATGGTATTTCTTATGCGTGGGATTTTCTCATCACATTGTAATAAGTGTTGATTTATTTATTCAGGCACAGCGAGATTTGTTTCTCTTGCTTTCGAGATTCATACTATTTTACAACTTAGGTAAGCGATGATATAGCTTGTTTAGACCACTGCTGGCATGGTCCATCATTTCCCCGCTTATTTTTATTTTTATTTTTTTCCCGCTGGAGTGCAGTTGACAAGCTAGAGGGGTTCTTAGACCAATTCCCTGTTTTCCCAAATGCTTTCTTGGTTGGTGGTCCTGCAGATTTCTTTGTTATTGAACTTGCAGACCAGGTATGCCATTTTTTGTGTCTGGTACATGATGAAAAGTGATGAAAACAAGTATGTTTATATGCCCTTGCATGGCTTGTGACACATTAGCTACCGTGCTGCTGGAAACTATCTTTTTCAGATTCAAAAGCTGAAGGTGGAACCAGTTCTACTGCATTACCTTTCGGAAATAAAAGTTCTCCAAGGTAATTACTGTCACCAACTGGTTAATCTGATGTTCTCACTTGTTAGTTGTTACAACCTTTGCATACCCAACATTATGTTCTGTCATTCCATGTACTCTTATGATTCCACCTTCAAACTACACGTATCCTTCAGGTTGATGTATTCGAATATTCATGGCCGCAAAATCAGCCCTAACTGATCATCCATGAACTTTAACAGGCTTGGAACTGAGAATGACAACAAGTACTAGACTAAAGGCATGTCTATATAGCTTCACTTCTCCAGGCGGCCCAATGTATCCAACTAGAGCAGTTCGCCATGCGGCCTGGGATGCTTTAGACTTTCTGTTCCCTGTAAGTGCCTTGTTTGCAGTGGTTGCTGCTATTCCAGCCTTTATTCCATGGCTCTTTGATTATTATTTGATGGATAACGCGATTGTGTCGTTTCCTTTCGCAGGTTGGACAATATCCACGGCACGTGATAAGTTTGTTTTTCAGGCTGTTGTATCCATGGTACTGGCCATCCTCGTGTTGGAACTTCATAGTGTCTTGCATTAAGGCCGTGTTTTTTTCGTTGTTGAGGCTGGTGTTTTCTAGTTGGGACAAGCTCAAACCCACCAAGGAACACTAAGGCTCTTGGGCTGGAAGGATGCTATATCAGCAGAGGCAGAGATGTCCAAGTTCCTTGTTTTGTGTTGTAAATTATGTGTTCCTCTCTTCGTCTTCTTGTTTTCTCAACTAGCGACTTAGCAAGTGTCTGCTACTTTGGCCAGTTGTTTTCCGGTTCTACTTCACGAACATTTTTATCCAAGGAAAAGCGATTTTAGTTTGATTCAATGTATACTCGACCAATTTCTAGGCAGGACGCAAACCACCATGTTTTTGCCCAAATGGTTTCAGACGTGTCTTTGGCAGGAAGGAGTTATTATGAGTTGAAAGAGTTGGTGGAAAGGACAAAGGGGACTGTAAGGATGAAATGCTTAGAGTATCCTGCTTTTGCAGTAGACCTGGCTGCCTCTTTGTATCGGCGATCTATTAGAGTTGAGTTGTAGAGTCTCCTTGTACTAGTACTAGTCAAGCAGTTTGTCATTGTATTGGTGTTGTGATCGTATTCATGCAATAAAATATCGTTGTCAAATGGTGTATTAATGGTATTTAACGATAGGCCAAAATTATTAAGGGTTGTCAAATAGTGTAGTGTCTGAATACTATTACCACTAAAATAAAATTTTACAAAGGTTTTTTTGTCCCAAATTTTACAAGGGTTGTCCAATAAGGCTAAATTGCAACTTTGGTCACTTGAATTACTAGTAAATTTTACGTTAACCGCTAGAATTGCTTTATTCCATCCTTAGTCACTTAAATTAGTTCAACAGTTCAAGTTTGGTCATTCTCCGTTAGTCTCCGTTAACTTTGGCTGATGTGGCAGTCAACTCTGAGAGTTGACCGTTAAATAAGTGACGTGACAATTATAAAATAATAAAAAATAAAATTTAAACTTTTTACAATTACCACCTCATTATCACAATAAATTAAAAATAAAAAAACAAAACAATTATAATTAAATTGAACAAACCCTCATCAGTTAGTATTAGCTAACGAATTTTCAAGTTAGCAGATTAACTTTCCCCTTCCTCAACGGCGTCCTGATCACCACCACTAGCGGAGGAGCTGCTTCCGATCAGGGTTTGTTGAATTTAATTACAATTATTTTGTTTTATTTATTTTTAATTTATTGTGATAATGAGGTGGCAATTGTAAAAAGATTAAACATTATTATTTATTATTTTATAATTGTCACGTCACTTATTTAACGGTCAACTCTCAGAGTTGACTACCACATCAGCTAAAAGTAACGGAGACTAACGGAGAGTGACTAAACTTGAACTGTTGAACTAATTCAAGTGACTACAGATGGAATAAAGTAATTTTAGTGGCTAACGTAAATTTTACGAGTAATTCAAGTGACCAAACTTGCAATTTAGCCAAACGAAAACTAAATAGACAAAGGAGGCATCCCGTTAGTTTGACGGTGGTCGGGTTCGACCAGCTTGCTCGGCTAATATTTGGACTTGGGTTAAATGAACCTAGTCAATACCACATCAGCTCCACGTAGCCTAATAAGAATCGGCGTCATCGGTGCCGCATAGCGGCACCGTTAGGGGTGGGCATTGGGTGGGTTGGGTAGATTTTGACCATAAAATGCACCCACCCGCGCTTAAACGGATTGATAATTTTTAACCACCACCCACCCACATTCAGTCTCGGGTTGGGTCGGGCGGATGGTGGATGATGCGGGTGGGTTTGTGGGTTCAACGACATCACAATGTATATAATATAAAGGAGCCAATTTGACATGATAATTGATAATAGGTGAAGAGAGTTATCGGGGGAAACAAGAAGATGAAATAGGGCGAAAAATGTCAAATTAGTTCTTAAATTGGATAGAAATTCTATTATGAAAGAGTTTTCTACAGATTGAGATGATTATCAGGTGCAAGGAACTAAGGAAAATAATTCCACAAAGGAAAGAGAGGTGATCTAGGCACAAGAATTAGAGGAAAAATTAAAGGGAAGAAGAGGGGATCGTTATTTGGAAGGTTGGCTTTGAGGTTCAAACTCTAGGAGCAGTCCTAGTTTATGTCTAACGTCTCCACTCTCCCCTCTCTAGCGCCAACGACTTTGATCTTTTTGTTGTTGGGTTGAGCGGGTCACCTGCGCATCCACCCACAAGCCACCCACCACCCGGTGGATGGCTCCCAACGCAACCCATCACCCACCCATGACCCACCCACAGACCCACCCACTTAACGAAATTCGGGTCAAATGTGGATGGGTCAGCCCAAACCTGCGGATGATCCGCCCGCATACCCAGCCCTAGGCACCGTAGTATTGGCCCTAATTCAGAAATCAGGTAGGGCAGATAAGCGTTAAGGCCCATGTTGCTGACTCGCGGAATTTTGGACCCGAGAGACCAATTGAAGCATCGAATATCCAGATCCTGCATTGATCATAAAATTAAATGATCGAATCTTTTTATATGGAATCTTTTTAAATGATCGAATCTTTTAATAAGTAAATTCCTCCACTCTGGTCTCTACTATTATAAGAAGGGACGAGGAGCTAGAGTCCTCATCAGAGGGCGAAAAAAAACAGAGGTGAAGGGCACATAATATCCCGCAAATCAAAGTTCTTTGTTAGAAGCACAGCTGAAGTTGGAGATTTCCTTTGCCGCTGACCGTTGAGGAATTAGAGGCTGTGATTATGGAAGGCCTGGGAGCTCCTTCCTATTTTGGATTTCAACGGCTACTTCCTGTTCCTATATTAAGCTGTCTCTTCCTCTGGCTTTGCACTTAGATAGATAGTGGCACAGGACTATTGGTATTATCTAAGGGGTTCTACAACTGGAGGAATAGGAGTCAGTTGTTGGTTGCTTACGAGTCTGGGATTGGATTCGGGTTTTATCTTTGTTTGCATCTTGTATCTTTGTTGTTCTTTTGATAGAAAAAAAATCAATAAAAAGAAGAGTCTCTCGGAGTGTAGCAGGTGCTATCTCCGGGACGAGGACGTACCCGTAGTTTGGGGAACCTCGTTAAAATCGTTGTGTTCTTCCATTTCACTTGCTGCATTGCTTGCTTTTTCACTTCCCCTGTTTTGATCAAGTCCCCTGCATCCTGTTAATCTCATCTTCGTGGAAGATGATGAGTTTCAGAGATTGATGAGTGGGCCTTATAACTGGGTAGTCCCTCGCTCTGCACACTCTCCGTTGAATCTTGGAAACCTTGGTACGCAGAGACTTTGCCTAACGAATCTGAAGGGTCCTGGTAAGTTATTGTAAGCTATGGTATGGTATGGGATCCTTATGTAATGCTCTTGTTTAAGTATTCTAGTTAGGCGAACTCTTATACAATATATTTTCAAAACAAAAATGACCAAGCTTGTTTGCAGGCAGGTGGACAATGAGAAGGAAGGTGAAAAATGGGTGAACTTAACACTTTGGCATTTGTGGCAGCATCTGGAGAATGATTGTGCAGTGGCTAATGAGTAATAACAGCTAGGAGAGTGAGCCTTCAAGCTGTAATTCTTTTATACTTTTCATAGTTGGTGGATTTATGATTTTTAAGAACTTGGCATTGGAATTGAAACCCACATCAAGGTTACGAGAATGTATATTTGGTCACTAGATCCAATGTGTTTTGGGTTTTGTATTCAGTAGATTTACTGGATGTGATATGAGTTTTTTTGGCTATTAAAACCAGTGGGGCTACATGGCAGCTGCTTCCTTCTTTGGTTAGTTTTTTTCTTTTCTGGTTAGATTTGATGTTCTACATGTCGGAATTGTTTCATTCTATATTTTATAGTCTCTTTATGTTTGTAGCTACCGGTTGGTGCAGCAACTGTAGCCTGTAGGCTCTTGAAAAGGTATAGTATTTCATCTACCTGCCGCGTGAAAGGTGGTCAAGTATTTATAAGAATTAAGAACAATAATATGGAATGCATAACAATTACATAAGAAGTACAGAATCTTCCAACACACCTAGCGAAGTATAGCATCGCATTTCTAAATGCGGTGTGTTGTTGCGTTCAGATTATGCTAACAATTCTGTCTAAAGACAACAGTTATACATGTCAGCTGCTTAAATTTTTCTACTTAGATTTCTGTCTTTTTGTTGTTAAGCAGAGTTAACCAAGATGCTAAATGGGATTGTTGATGAAGAGGATATGAATGTCTTGCAAAGAAAACTGGATGGACTTGTGATTTCATTCTCAACCTAGTGCAATCCCACTCTTCTTCGAGTGCTAAAAGGCAGAGACAATCGTAGGTGTCTGTAATGGGGTTTTATTATTCATCCAGATACGGTATCTATTGTATGCAAAGTAGCTAACTAGCTACAAGCCTACAACAAACAACAATGTTTATACAAGAAAATGAAAGAGCAATGGTTTCACTATAATGGATGAGCTCTGAAATCTGCGGCTGCAACTTCTGTTCCTCCCTCAACTGCTTGGCTTGATTCTCTCATTCCATTCCACTGCATTTTTTGGCTGGCTGGCCTCGACATATTCTAGCAGCAGTACTTGGACTCCCCACTGGCACTTTTTCCATTGACACAAGTGCAGTTTCTAATATTACAACATTCTCAGATTCGAGCTGATAAAAACTCTTGTATTGCTTACCTGATAATGGTTCACTTGCTTTACTCCATCCTCACTCTCTTCTTTTTCTACTTTTACTTCTTGTCGCAACTCTCAAGAAGTTCCTTCACATAATCAATTGTGTCTCCATGAATTGAAGTTATGTCCATCTACCCAAGACACACAAACTTTCCCTTGTCAATGTCAAGAAAGAAACAACCGAACACACAAAAGCAAAACAAAAGAGGGGGGAAACAAAACACAGACCTTGCTGATCTTTGGGACAATTGATCTCGACATTGAAAGCTTGTTATTAAGTCTCTGCCTTCTCCTCCTATCAGCCATTAAATTCTTGGAAGGTTGTCCTTCTGTCAGAGAGTTGTATCACAACGACCATGGCAAGTTAATAAAATTCAGTGCTCTCGCGCTAAATACTACACTATCGATGGAAGCTTAGTGACGCATTAGGGACTGGTTATAATATAATTACAACAACCCTATTATTTCATTCAAACTACCAGTGTTATCTCACTTCCATCATGTTTTCCTGTCCTTTCTATTACAACAGCCATATGAGGAGCTCCCAAATTTCACAGTTCCTTGGCCTTGAACTTCCCTATATAGCACAGTACAAGACCCTAGAGCTGCATCGATTTCAAGCGCCTGCCACCGGCTGGTCGTTCGAAGTTGAAACAAAAGAGCTGAAAAGGTCAGGAGGACATCTCATCGGCTAAGAAAATTCTCAGAATTCCCAAACCCAACTAACCCTAAGGTAAGAACAAGCAAACCTGACCAAGTATCGCCGACGCTCGAGTTCATAGAGTACATAAGGACAAAATTGACGAGAGACTTACCTGGAAGCCGCTGCCGAGCACTACCTTCACAACACTCTTGTCGCCACGGCGACCGACCACCACCTTAATCGTTGACGGAGCAGCGAGGAGAGGGAGAGGAAAAACCTCAATTTTGGGCACGGCTAGTACTGTGGCTACCGGTTTGCTGAATAATTGAAGGCGGAAACGCAAGCTGAACTTCAATGGAGCTGTTTGGTAGGCCCTGAGATCGAATCCACGACTGAGGAGTCGACTGAAGTCCTTGTGGAGAGTGCTCATCTACGACGATGAACTACTGCCCGATTGCTTCGTTTTCTTTCTCCTTGGTTTCTGGCGACCAAAATAAAATATCACTTAACTCGAAGACGATGAAATTAATGGGAAAATTAACCCAAGTAAAAAACGTAGAAGACGGACGGAAAGAATTCCGTTTGCGTGGGTAGCTTCGAGTATGACGTGGGCGACGGTTCACCAGGTTCGGGCACAAACTCAATTAAAACCACCCAATGCCACGTCAATACTTACGTGGCCCAATCATATTCAGCGTCATCAGTGCCGCACTTTTTATAGCGGCACCGTAGTATTGGCCCTTCTTGTTATTTTGCTTAAGTTGTGGGCTTTTGTTGGTGTTTGGGCCCAGTCTTGAAAACAAAGAAAGTGAAGACTAGAGTACAGATCAAAGATCTATCTTCCCTTTCCTCTCGTTTTCTTCTTCTGACTTTTCCCAAACTCTTCGAACCCTACTTCTCTTCTCTCTTCTTCATTTCTCAGTTTTCACATAAGATCTGGAAGAAGAAGAAAAAAAACCCGTGAAGATGAAGATGATCATGGGAGTCCTGATGATGTTCTTGGTGATCCTGGCTTCGACAAGTCAGATAACAGCGGATTATGAAGTGTGTTTCTTTAAGTGCAAAGGCAATTGCAAGCAAGCAAATTACAGCGATTGTTTGATATATTGCCACAAGAAGTGCCAGAATGAAGGAGGTAACAAACAAGAGAATCGCAAATTTCGGGCTACCAACACCAACTTTAAGTTCGTTTAATGGTTGTTTGTAAATCATCCTCATATGCTTAGTGAAGATGATGTTTTCCGACGTTTATGTTTGACGAAATAAAAATGATGTAATCTTAGTGCGACCTAAGATTACATAAAGTTTGATTGAATCACGTGCCTATGGTGTTTGCTTTGCTTTGCTTTGCTCGGATCCGATTATTCGACAAGAACAAGTAGGAAAAGTAATGTTCATTCTGCATAGAAGGATATCTACCAGTACTCTGTTCCATTCTTGTCTCTGACATTCATACTAGTACTCTGTTCTAACCAGGACATGCAACTAATTAAGTCCAAATACACATATCTGAACAACATTACATAGACAGCATAGTTTTATCGGATTCTCAACTACAGAGTACAGACTACGTGAACGTGATCATATCTTACATTGACAGAATAGTTTTAAGGAGATCAATCAGCGGAATTAGTAGTGCCTAAGCTCAACTCGAGCGTTGGACTGAATTCCTTGTCGAGATCCTCGAGCGAATCCTTGGATTTCTCTAAGACAAACTTGGTGCACAGCCAAATACCGGATAGCAGAATGGCGTTGGTTATCCAGTACCACACATCCACCACTGCTGTGTCTGTGGCTGTTTTCACGTAATAAAGGACGAAGCTGACCAACCTGTTATGTAAGCTTCTTTTGAATTGTATGCCAAGTAGTTAATTATATGCATGGTAGATGATCTTACGTAACCGGACCACGTACAATCGAGCTAATGGACTTCAAAATAGTCAGATCGGAAAATGCATTTTATGATATATGCTATGTACGTATTTGGAAGTGTTGTTTAGGTGATAAACCTGAAATCAATCCACATGTACGTATATTTCACTTTTCAACATTATATTCAAAGGACGTCTTCTTTCGTGTCATCGTGCCCTATGTGACCTTGAATTCATGTCTTTTAAGCTTTATTTGATCTCCAAATGTGATCATTATCTATTCGAGAGTAAAAGGACTCAAAATCAATATTAGTAATAGGTGGACGTAATTGTTTGATGATTATTGTATTCTTGTTGTAGTTTCTCGCCATCTTCGCACGATATAATTTAGTGCACTGCACTGGTCAGTGCAGAGGCTGTAAAGCGACATCGAGCAATCGTCCAAGTACTTAGTAACACACGTTACTTGATCTGTTGGAACCAATTTGTTGTTGATTTGCTCATCTTTCTCATGGCATCCGTGAGATCAATTACCCAAAACAATTAAACGTGATCGTAATTTATTATAAAGAGTCTGCAAAGCAAATATGAATCATGAAACATAGCTGGTAAAAGGCAAAGAAAGAACGAGCATAGCAAATATCCATAAACTTGGTCGAGTCGCCATCTTGGTGGTTTCTATGAGTGTCAACCCCTGTGGCCTGTGGGCTGTTGGCCCAATTTCCAAAACAGAAAAAAGCCTAACATAAATGTCCATCCACCACCTCGTAAACTCATTTCGAAGCTTGGTTGTGTGTTGATGTAAAATAAAGTTTCAATCTAGAGTTACCGCTCTCCATAGATTATTCTTGTTCATGTTAAATAGGGATATCATGTAAAATCGTTGTGTTCTACATGGGTGTAGGCAAATATGAATCATGGCGGGAAGGATTTAGGCAAAGGGTAATTGACATTTGACACCATGTAGAACTAGGCTTGCAAGTTGCATCCAAACTATACACTACAAGAAACAACACCTAGTGCTCCACTCCAACCAAATAATCTATATATTCAGAAAGATATTAGCCCTAACATATCTCCAGCCTTTTGGAGGGAGTGGGGGAGTACCTCAACATAAATGAAAAACACATACACCAATACAACAATAGGAATAGGAGAAGAAAATTATCATAAACCAATGCAAACTATCTTCCATCTAGAAAACTCTCCAACCTCGCATGACGTGAGCACTGAAACTGGGTTTACAGTAGCAGTTAATCCTTACCGGTCACGATCTACCCTCTTCGTTCAGAACAACCGCCTCAGTGTTGGTAACATTCAGCCCATTCATCTTGGCAAAGTTCCTAGGTACAGGCTGCTTACAAGTTACAATTGCAAACCTTGAATGTCTAAACAATTGTAGTCTTACCATCTAAAAGTCCAAACTAAAGCTTTTTTTTGTACAAACCAGTCTGCCCCTTTTGACATTGTCAGGCTGTATGGACACCATAAAGGAATCAACTTTCCTTCGATCATGATTTCTGTGGCAGCCATGGGTGAGACGGTGACAACGACGGCGAAGCGGGGATGGAACCCTTCATCAACGGCGTCCCGAATCCCGATCACCACCACCGGCGGAGGAGATGCTTCCGATGAGGGTTTGTTCAGTTTAATTATAATTGTTTTGTTTTTTTTATTTTTAATTTATTGTGATAATGAGGTGGTAATTGTAAAAGGTTTAAATTTTATTTTTTATTATTTTATAATTGTCATGTCACTTATTTAACGGTCAACTCTCAGAGATGACTGCCACATCAGCCAAAGTTAACGAAGACTAACGGAGAGTGACCAAACTTGAACTGTTGAACTAATTTAAGTGACTACGGATGGAATAAAGTAATTTAAGTGGGTAACGTAAATTTTACAAGTAATTCAAGTGACCAAACTTGCAATTTAGCCCTTCCAATAACTTAGGTCCGCCCCTTAATAAAATACGCATATTTAAATAAGCGTATTCGAAATATTTACTATTGCCAACGCCTTAATCACAAAGATGCCCTGGCCTATAGGCTATATGTACTCATTCCAGAAACTCATGTGTTGTGTCTAGAGGTGGCAATTAGGATCCAAATCCATGAATCCAATCCAATCCATCCACCAAATTATCCACCTAATCCAATCCATTTAAATCCAATCCATTTGATCCAAATCCAATTGGATTGGTGGATTCATGGATCAATCCATGGATCCAAATGGCAAATTACGATTTGGTACCTATATTTTTTATATTTTACATTTTGGTACCTAAAATTTATATTTTTATACGAAAAATCTCATTAGAAAATTACGTTTTGGTACCTAAAATTTTCATTATGACATTTTAGTACCTAAACTTTTCAAAATTTACATTTTGGTCCAAGCCTTGGATGTTATTTGGATTCATGGATCAATCCACCAATCCATTGGATCCAATCCATGAATCCACCAATCCATTGGATCCAATCCATTTGATCCATGGAGCCACGAATCCAATCCACGAATCCGATCCAATTGCCACCTCTGTGTCAAACCATAGCAATATGGAGATTATTGTCGGAGAACATCGTAGTAGTCGTTTTGTATTTCATTAGTAACAGTCTAACAGACATCACTTACAGTCTTACACAGCCCAGGTTTGAGGATCAATAAAAATCCACCCTACAGTCCCCCATCCATAGAGGCGCTCCCGTCCAAACTCTTGTAACATAGGCTGATACCCAGTATCTTGAAAATTACAGTATACCGTTATCCATAAGATAGGGTTTCATCCAACTAACAATTTCCATACACATGTACACATCAAGAGAAGGATACGACACTTATCTTTTTCGTTGACAAGCTTTCTGCTTAGAGAATGGTAACACAGAACCGACAGTCATCATCTTCGCGTCAAAAACCTGTACCTACATCGACCAAGGTTCATCTTACTTCATCCACAACACACTATATCCAGGTTAAGTCTTTTAAGAACAAGGCGACCTGATGAATCACAACATTGCTGCAAATCAACTGATAACAGGTCCTCCCACCGCATTGCTAACCAAAGAATAATAACCTCTCAAATCATATCTCCATGGCATCAATGGATACTCTGGAAAAATATGAACTCGACTCTGAGGACTAAAAAGCAGCCACCCAAAGGAGCACCAACTCAGCAACAACTCTTTACAAAAGATTCCGCCATTAGAACATGGATGATCTCTACTTTTGCTTGTGAATATGCATCATACACATGCACCAGCCACCACAAAACTATATTGGTTAGAAACAACAAGACTACATGGCCAACAACCGTAAGCAGACCAGAGTGGCAGCAAAATCCTCTCAAACATAAAGCGTCGTTGAAAAGCAACCACCGACAGGATTCCTACACAGGAACCCAATGTACCCAGTTTCATCTTCACCTGTACGTTCAACATCACTTCATTTATACATATATGTGCAGATTCCAGATAAGGGAGCAGTTGTAGATTCTATAGGTTCAAACCATAGCAAGACAAACAAGTAATAACAGCTCTAGAAGTTGCCCAAAAAATTAAAGTATGAATTCAAATCTACCTCAATTGCGGTCTCTACGATGGAGGTGGCAACCCTCCAAAGACTGTAATGAAGCTCTCTGGGCTTGCAGACAGCAGTTCTTTGGTGTATGGATGAAGTAAACCGAGAAAGGGTCCACTTCCTATTGCCGCGGCTTTAAGCACGGAACTATTCAAGAAGCTGACCAAACTACAATCACAAGTACCATTACACACTGAAAGTTGTCCACACTACCCACACATTCCCATAACCAAGTCAATGAACAACTGATAATTAAAATCCCACACTCCAGAGCAAAGACTCTTACTAACATCAATGACAATTCACTACAGAACTTTGTCAAATATCTAAGAGCATTGCTCCATAAGATCACCCCCAACAATAACAAGTAAAAGGAAAAGCCCTTAACTCTCTTGCATTGCTTCTGAATGATATTTCTCCAACTCGGCATCCAGATCATCAGCGGATATCTTTTCACCGCCACGGCCCCCAGTTCTCCGCCCACGACCCCTTCCGAATCCACGACCACCACCACGGCCACCACGTGGCCGAGCGAAAGCACCGCCCCTGCCTTGACCTCTGCATCAGCAAAATAATCAGAAAAAAACACATGATAAGAGGTCGTCTAACTGCCAAGTAAAGGAATGAACTTTATACAATTGAAGGAAATTCAAAATGCACCAACAAGTTCCCGGAAAAGACCAGGGCAAAGCAACCAATTTAAGTTCACTAGATATTTGTATGTAAAGTACAACATACAATTCTAAGGCTCGCTAGCACTGGTTTAATAAGATGAATGGATTGACATTCAAAAAGAAAATACAGATTACAACAAATAATAAACATCATCCAAAGAAGAGGAGACATACCCTCTGCCAAGTACAACCGGTGCAATTGGGTTCCCGAAATTTCCAGTAATAACGGGAGGCACAGCAGGGGTGACAACATTTGTTCCCACAATCTCTATCTTCATCGGTTTCCCATCCAACTGAACATTGTTGTATCTCTTCACGGCTGCAAGTGCATCGGCCCTCCTGGAGAAGACAACTTCTGCCGTTCCCTGGTACAAGGAGTTTCTCTAAGCCACAGAGACAACCAAGCAAGTCATAAGGACATGTCGTAGGACCAAGCTCGGTTTAAATACCTTTGATCTCCCGCTTCTATCATAATGGATTGCATACCGTTTCAAATCACCAACTTCAGAAAACAGTTCCTGCATGTTAATCAGTGAAGTTAGCTATAGAGCTCCAAAGAGGAAATTCCCATCAATCAAAATACATACAGAAGACATCATCTCTACAAAGAGAGCAAACCATAAGCTAAGAGGAGCTAAGAAAAGGGAAGATTATCACTTGTCTAGCGAGGTAAAAGACCAAAAGATGAACCTAGGGTACTTCACGAACGCTAGATACAAAATTCGAATTAGGGTTCTTCACACTTCATAAGTCCCTCTTCAACAATCTCTCCAATTCTCAAAAGTCCAAATCAAGCAACATGCGAAGGTCTAACAAATTCAAACACAGAACTGAGGTTCTTTTCAAACCCTAACCACAAAAAGAATACGAATCAAGAACTTTTTACCTTTACGTCTTCATTCGAGACGCCGTAATCAAGATTCGAGATGTAGAGCTTAGTTCCCGTCTCAATAGCGGAGGTCTGAGCGGGTTGTGCTGGGAAAGCCATAGCTGCACCCGCGAACATGTCGTGCTGCCACGCTGTTTCCGTAGCCTGAATAGAAACCAGAAGGACAAATCAACACCTTCCTTCCACGATACAGAAGAAGTGATCGAAGCTCAACGCGGTGGAGAGATGGAAAAGAAGCTGAACCCTAGCAGATGTAGCGGGAAGTACCATAGGAGCTGCATAGGGAGCCGGCCGATTGAATCCCCGATTGGGGATCCGGCGAGCAGGGCCCGGTCCAGAACCTCGTCCACGGCCGCGAGAGTTGCCAGATCCGGGCTTCTTATTGTTCTTGATGATGTCGTCGAGGGACATATCCAGAGCGCTAGACATTTTCGTTTCTCCGGGTTTGAACCAAAAAGGCAGCCTCAGCAAAAACGAAAAAGCAGGGCACGAGCAAAAGTCGAAGTATGAGAACCGGGAACCAGAGGGAGAGGTCAGAGGAGGAAGGTTAGGGTTTTTTTCCTCGACTGGAAGGGAGAGAGAATGTCGTACTGATATATTCAAAATCACTAGAAATTCGACTTTTATGTTTTCAGATTTCTGTGAACAACAACGGTTTCGTGGTGTAGTTGGTTATCACGTCAGTCTAACACACTGAAGGTCTCCGGTTCGAACCCGGGCGAAGCCATGATTTTTTTGTGAATATTTTAGCTTTTTGTTCATTTGTTGTTTGCTGGGTTCTGCTCGCCTGCGTTGATGGCTTGGGCCTGGCTCTGCGTCCGTGGGCCACCTCAGTACGGCCGAACCGTAAAGTCCAGTTCTTTTAAGATACCCTTTTTTTTCTTGGATATAATATACATAGGAGATCATGGAGGCCAAGAGGAAAGAAATCTTCCAATCCTTTGTGTTAAATTTAAAAGAACCCTTCAAGTTTCAACAATGTCCTAAGCTTATTATTGATGAGTCAAGCCAATAAGTTTGTCAAGTCTCGATTTCTTATTAATTTCATTTATAAAAACAAAGAAAATATCTAAATATTTATAGAATTTTAAGTCTGCCAAAATTGATGTGTAGCTCCTATGGTACTTCCCCCACATACTGAAAATTTAACTATTGTATAATTAGTTGGGGCGAACAATTTTTTGACGCACTGAAAACTTAACTACTATATATAATGTATTTTGATCCAACAAGTACTAAAAACTCGAATCTCAAGTGCCTTGATTCGATTTTGGGGGCGAAAGTAACGTGTATAAGTATGGATGAGATCTCCGATTCTCTCTAATCCTCAAGCCAGACGTACTAACAATCTACCCTGGAGTGAGGTGAACCCACTGAGAAAGCTAGACTTGCGATGATTACCGATTTTAAATTGCTATATACATTCATCATCAACATGATCGAGCCCCTCAAGCTTTAATTGCACAAATAGTTCTATAGCTAGCTGAAATAAACAAGTTTATCCAATCCAGTTCTTTATTTATAAACTCAACTCACTACATTGGCAAACTAAAAAAAAAAATCTACAGTGACAGGAAACGATGGAACTGCCACGGCGCCTGGAAACCGCGAAATACCGGCCGCCTGTACGTACATGGGAAACCGCCGCCTGCCGCTAGCGGTGGAATCAAAACATGGATCAAAAAAAATTCCAGGGAATGCGCATTTGTCTGAAAAAACCTCGCATCCTCAAAGAATTGATCAACAACAATCAAACTATTCTGAATCTGAAAAAAAAAACAAAAATGGCGGTGTATGACTAACTAATTAACTTCAGTTCTGACGAACCACGTCGCCCCACAATCCCAGAGACCGGACCAAGCAGGCGGATCCGCTGACCACCAGGGCGGCGAAGACGGTGGGCACGAAGAAATCCCAATTCGACCTCTTCACCATGTGCCCCGGCAGGCAGATCACCTCTCTCGGCGATTCCATGATCGGCAGCCCCACCATTCCCGCCCCTGTACACGCCGGCGCCGTCCGCGAGAACAGCCACCGCGCGGCGGAGGCGGAGGGGGCGGAGGACGACGAGGAGACGGAGGATACGAAGGCCAATTCCGGGGCGAAGGAGGCGACGGCGACGGTCAAGCTGAGGAGAGTGGTCCACGCCGCCGCCTGGAGGAAGAGCCGCCAGTGTAGCGACGCCAGTCGCCGGATTATCAGAGCGTGAATTGGTACCATTTTCTTTTTTTGTGGATTGATTGATCGGAATTGTGGGGTTTTAGAACGGGGAATAAATTGACAGACGGATGTATTGTTTTTTCCCCCTTTTTGGCTTCTTCTGTGTGGGGGAGGAGAAACTAATTAAGATCGTGGGAAGACGGAGATGAATAAATAAATTAGATTAATTAATAAAAGGTTTAGCGTGTGGGCGAAAGAGAAATGGCCGTGTTTCTTCTGTCACTAGCGCCCGGATTGGTTGGGAGAGACGACGCTAAGCACGTTTTGTGTCCACTAACTACTCTTCCCCACTAACTATTACCAGCAAAAAAACAAACTACTCTTTCCACTGATGCTTCGATTTCCCGAGTTTGCCCCTCGATTGAGCAGAGTATTACTCGGCCATGTTTTGGCAATGCCGTGTTGATTTACCGTTCAAATCGGATCAAAATTTTACCATGTTAGAAAGAAAAAAAGTTACTTGTCACGTGTCATGCTATTTAAAGTACTAAATTTGTCATTTAGTTATAAGTGAATCGAGACAATAATTCGAGTTATTCTGCGGGTGACATGTCATGATAATTTAATTAATTGTCGGCAACAAAGATTTACATATTGTGAGTCGTAAATGAATTTGTAGAAAAAAGTATATATGTTTAAACAAACAATACTTTTGCACTATATTGTTACTGGTTACATTGTCAGCGATGTGAATTGGAAGTTGATGCCACGTATTTGTTATACCGTTATTCATCACGTTGCGGTTATAAATAAACAGGTTAATATGCGTAATGGGTCAATATAGCATATTAACAAGTGAAGTGCTGATTTGTTTAGTACAATTGGTTCAGAGCATGTACCTTGTATGGTTATGAAAAATTGTTGATTCGTCTACACTTGTGAGAGTTTTGGGTAAGTACTAATGAGTCACTGCACGCATTACATTGTTCAGTTTTGTTATAGAGGAAGAACAAATTGGTTTAACCGCAACGCACTGAACTAATATTAGGAGGCCATGAACACAACAAGAATTGGGTAGTCATGCTTACCGTTTGGTTTGGTTAACTAAACCATTAAGCATTAAACTCGAAAAAGCAACCTATCGATTATTGTTTAACCGAAAATCAGTATAAGGCCCTTAAGGGTTTTAGTCATTATAATCTGAATTTTTTGAAGGATATGCATGCAATTATGAAATTTAACCGAAATTGATTTGGGTTATGTATTAGTTGGCTCACTTACCACCAGCCTGTTACAGAGCAGACGGAGATCATGATAATGACGATCAAGACGATATCAAGCACTAGCTAGAGCAGCAGCAAGAAGTATTTGAGCATATTGGGAGGTCATACTGAATGCTTCCTTGTTGAGTTTGGTTATAGATCGTACAAGTTTTATTGATTCATGCTCTTGTAGAACAACAATTAAACCACGCTCATGTGACCAGCCAAACATCATCTAGCGATCATATGAGTTGTCCCAGTTTGAAGATAATGTGTAAATGTCCGAAGGAAGGGCAATGGTTGATATTGACAATCGCCACGGCAACAGGACGCAAATTCAGCAGAGAAATGTAACCGCTTCCCAGTTTTCCTCTGGTCCTATTGTCCTAACTCGGCAAAACTTTATCCCTATTCATGGCTCCTACGCAATTCAGCAAACCTGTCTGATCTGTCATCGCAGTATGACAAACGAAACGAAAAGGCCATTTGCCCCTGCCCTTCCCAAGGATAGATGCCCTCTTCATCGGCACAAAAGCCACGGCGCCGTTTCTTTTAGGCACGGTACATGCCGCTCTCTGTCGTCACCGTGGGACCAAATACAGGGACGACAGATTTTGATTACTCAACGCAAGACTACAATTATTCCATTCAAGGAAGGAGCACCAAGCACGCAAAGCAGAATATGGGTTCTTCTGATTGGGAATAATTATAATATCATTAAAAAACCAAGAAATCAACTCCAAAATATAACCACGGAATCCGATTACCATTTCCTTTAGGTAGTTACAAAGTTATCAAGCAAGGAAAATACAACTGAAGCCATCAATCCATCGAAACGAACTCAGGGACTACGAGATCTAGACCGGCAAACCCACACCCAGAGATAGAAGACCTAAATTGGCGTATAACCCTAAATCCTAACTCGAACACACACAATTTTCAAGAGCTGGTGAATTTGGTGACGGCCTTGGTGCCCTCAGAAACGGCGTGCTTGGCGAGCTCTCCGGGCAGCACCAATCTGACGGCGGTCTGGATCTCCCTGGAGGTGATGGTGGGCTTCTTGTTGTACCTAGCGAGCCTGGAGGATTCCTGGGCGAGCTTCTCGAAGATGTCGTTGATGAAGGAGTTCATGATCCCCATGGCCTTGCTGGAGATCCCGATGTCCGGGTGGACCTGCTTCAGGACCTTGAAGATGTAGATCTTGTAGGTCTCCACGCTCTTCTTGTTCCTCTTCTTCTTCTTGTCGCCGGCAGCGGCGCCGGCTTCCTTGGGGAGCTTCTTCCCGGCCTTGGGCTTCTTCTCTGCGGGCGCCTTCTCGGCCACGGTCTTCTTCTCCTCCGCTGGCTTCTCGGAGGCCGGCTTCTTCTCTGCGGGCTTCTTCTCTGCGGCCTTTGGCGCCATCTCGAAAGGAAGGAGAGATGAGATTTGGGGGTTTCTTCACGAGGAGGGGAAAAAGTACAGATGGGTAGAGGATTAGACGATTTTTTTGGGATTAGAGTAAGTTTTGAGAGATTGCTTTGTGGGCCGAATAATATATAGGTGACAGAGAAGCAATCCCATTGGATATCGGAGTCTGCCGCGGATAGATGAAATAGAGGATCTTGGCCGTTGATTAGGAAACTTGAATCGACGGCATACAAAGATGCGTGAAGAGTAGGGTGCTTTCAGTGCGCCTATTAGACGTGGTCATCTCTCATTGGGTTTTCGACTTGGCACAGATTGTTGACGTGGCATTTAATTCCCGTTTGTGTCTTCTGAAGCTGGCCAGCTTGGATTTCGGGTCGAATGTCGAGCTGATACAATGCAGGTGATTTTGGCGGGCGCGGACCTCGGATATTCAGCGAGCCAATTAAAAAAAAATCCAAACTAAATCATGGCTGCAATTTTTGCTTTCCCTCCCAATCCCATGAAGAATTCTCTCAATTCCTATGGCAAACAAAAAAAAATCTCTGAATTCTCAATAATTAATTGACTATTGGGAAAAAAATGGGTTAAAGACACATTTGGTCACTGAGAATTGAGATTACAAAATCGGGACATGTTTAGTCACTAGAAAAAATTAATATCAAATTTGGTCACAACAATACTAAAACTGGACACATTTAGTCACTCGCCGTTAGTCTCCGTCCAACTCCGTTAATGAAGTCCGTTAAGTGATGATGTGGCAAACAGAATTGCCTAATCAGCCAGATATAACCCAACAAAAATAAAACCCGACCCGCCACGTCATTTAAACCAACCCAACCCATGACCCAACCCCACCCAACCCTTCTTTCTCCTTCCTCACCTCCTTCTTTCCCCAAATCCGAATTCAATCCAGACATCAAAACGAATTCAATCCACACATAAGGGAAATCGAATCGACAGAGAATAAAGTAAAAAAAAACCCTTGTTGCCGTCGTCGAAGGGGACGGTCCTGGAGAGGAGAGCGTAGATGTCATTCTTCTTCGACAAGTCCCTGTGGCGGTCGGGAGGCAGCAAATCGAGCAGATCCAGGTAGTTCCTCGGTAGCTTCTTCTCCCAAACGGAGTCCGACGACGCCAACACCCTATCTTTTCCCCTCTATACACAAACCCAATCACCAAACAAACGAAAAAACGTTTTCCCTGATGCTGAGTCCATTGATTTGCGGAGCAAGCTTCCAGACCGACGAAGACGACCTCCCTTGCGGCGCCGCTTCGTCGTCTCCGTCGCCGAGGAAGCCATGGGGCGGGCGGCGGGGCGGCAGGAACAACAGCAACAACAACCCGTACGCCGGCCGCGGCCTCGACAAATTCTCGCAGCTCCTCTCCGATCTGGCCGAGAAGCGGCGGGAGATCTACTCCACCATGAGCTCCCAGGATCCGCCTCTCGTCCGATTCGTCTTCCCCGGCGCCACCAGCGACGCCGTCTCCGTCGTCATCAAGATTCGAGATCCGAAACCCTCGAAATCGGCAGAGCTCAAGGATCATCCTCGTCACAATCACAACCATAGGAATTTGAAGCACAACAATTCAACAGCTTCCGCGGCCGCGGCGGAGCAAGCAGTGACTAATTCAACTTCCGATCAGCAGCACAAGTTGCCAGCGGTAGGGGAAATAGTCGAGGAATCAGTTGATTTTTGCGCTGCGGTGTCAGGGAGCGGCGGCGACGCGAGGAGATTGATTTCGATCTTCCGCCGATCGTGGCGGCGGCCGTCTGTTTATGTCCCCGTGGCGGTGATTCTGATTCTACTGTTTCTGGCGGTTTTCGGGAGGCAGCAAATGGAGCAGATCCAGGTAGTTCCTCGGTAGCTTCTTCTCCCAAACGGAGTCCCTCGATTTCCCTTATGTGTGGATTGAATTCGTTTTGATGTCTGGATTGAATTCGAATTTGGGGAAAGAAGGAGGTGAGAGGAAGGAGGAAGAAGGGTTAGGTGGGGTTGGGTCATGGGTTGGGTTGGTTTAAATGACGTGGCGGGTTATAATGACGTGGCGGGTCGGGTTTTATTTTTGTTGGGTTATATCTGGCTGATTAGGCAATTCTGTTTGCCACATCATCACTTAACGGACTTCATTAACGGAGTTGGACGGAGACTAACGGCGAGTGACTAAATGTGTCCAGTTTTAGTAATTGTAGTGACCAAATTTGATATTAATTTTTTCTAGTGACTAAACATGTCCCGATTTTGTAATCTCAGTGACCAAATGTGTCTTTAACTCGGAAAAAAATTGTCAATAATTAGCTTTCTAATTACATTTTAGATTTCCGGTTTCATTTATAGCTGGTTTCTTGAATAGTGAGTTAGTGACTTTTGAGAAATCATGGTGGTTTTGATTGATTAATTGTTAAAGTGATGTTTGTAGAGTCAAATAGCTCATTAATTATTTATGTGGTGTTTTAGAGAGACTAGGCGACAATTAGGTTTTCTCGACCACAAAACCCTATGTTGACTACAGAGATACTGGGTCGCTACGACACAACACCAAACTACGACCAAGTAGAATAGTAGAATAGAAATGCAGAATAGTGGGTAAGTTTTACTTATCAACCTGGGACCTAGATGTACTGCCTACTTCATGATTGTCTATTATCTATTGGGAAAGTTGAGTGAAGTGATCAAAGCAAATTAATCAGAAAGCAGTAAATGTTTTGGTTTTCAAGTTCGAGAAGGAACCACTCACGTAATGATTCCCCCCTAGTCTGCAATTAAGTCGAGTTGTAATTCACCCAGTCGAATTCAATTCAGATTTATGTTGCGAAAGATTCGGATCTAGCTTGGAATATCTTAAGATGACCAAGCCCTCTCAGACACGTTACCCGGCTGACAACTAACCTTCATCAAGATAAAGTGTTAAGGCAATAAAACAAATATCCTCTACTGAAATGAATCACAGTACAGAGCAGTGAATCGATTGACCCTCGCACAATCGATTCGCTACTTCCAAATCAAGATGCTTTATTGACTTATTTAGGTTCTATCGTTATAGGTCAAAGCAGGAAACATACAAGTGTGATCAAGACTCATGGATTTCCGAATATAACTTCAATTGTATATATAATCATCAATGTACTGAAAAAGGTTCATACAACTACTCCTAATATGCAAAACTAGGGCTCTTCATACCCAAATGGTAGAGGGAATTACTCCAGAGAGAGAGGAAAGTAATGTCGGATGTAAAAATCATCGTGTAGACGGAAGAAATCTGCCATGGGTCATCAATCGTCACTCCTCGAGGCTTGAAACGAGCTCCAATGACGGAAAAACTTGATATAGGGCACTCAAGGGTCTTTGTTTGTCACTTTCTCTCTCTAAACCTTTGTTTTCTGGTCCAAAACTCCAATGAATCGTCAAAACCCACGTTTGGCTCTAAACAACCCGAGTCTCGAACCCCCGAACTGATTACCCGGTCGAGTAATTTGATGCTCAGGTCAGGTTTCTTCCAAAATGGCAAAGCAAGCACTTAAATCCCGCATCCAATTCCCCCGCCTCAAGTTCGAATCCCCGATCGGGGAACAAGGGGTCATGACAGAGGGAAATCCCTAGACGAGTTCCCCGATCTGTAATGGCATTTCCCCGGTCGGGTAATTAATGGTCAGGCCGGGTATTTTGGTCCTCGAACTCCTCCTTTCGTCCACTTGGTGCTTTTGATCCGAAACTAACTCCCAAGCCTACATAGCTGATCTAAGACCTGAAATACATCATGCACAAATAACTTAGCGTGAAATCGGCTAAAAACATGAGAATCCAGTCTCAAACAATGTAAGAATGATGGGCAAAAAAATATGCAAATACCGAGTTATCATACACCGTTATGATACAAGTCTTCCATATAGTAACTACCGTATTTTTGGGTCTCATCCATTATTGAACTGCCTTCTATGGTCAACTAAAATGGGGAGTGTTATTTTTTGCCCATTCTCGAGGGACAATCGGTTTCCTGACCGTGAAGTATGTTGGCAACAAAGAACCATGCAATACTTGCATAAAAAAGATTGAACTTCAATTACAATAGACACAAATGGAAAAATAAGATGCGGAACCTTTGGTGACTACGGAGCAAGATAAGATAATTGGCTAAATATGGGGATCCAAAAACTATGATTGGTGGAAAGATTGATGGCGGTACGAAAACCTAATGTAAAATCAAAGAAAATATCACTATCCATTTCACATAGATGGATGATTGAAACAGAGTGTGATTTGGAGGCGTATTATAGTATGATGGACACTTATTGTTATGAGACAATTCAAGTACAACATAGAAGAGTAAATAAGAGAAAATACCCTTATATTTTAGTGTCTACTTAGGTCATTAGTATGAGGTATGAGGCATTTTAGGGAGGAAACCCAAACGTAAAATCGTGTGGGTTTGACCCAAAGTGGACAATATCGTACTAATTAAGTTATTTGGTTTGGGAAGTGGTATAAGAGCATCGTTTGGTTTCAATTCGGGTCGATGGACATAAGTTTAGTGGATCCTCATTCAATGACATCGGGATTTGAGATATGCGTATGTTTGGTGAATTCGATGAGATCCACATGTGTCTTGTAGATTAAAGGTGAACTATATTTGGTATGGTGGATCAAGATAATCGTTGAGGGATCACAATGTTCTTGGTTTTTGTCTTTAGGAGAGTATTGTTATGGGCCAATCCAAGTACTACATAAAAACACAAGGGAGATGACCATTGTATACTAGTGTCTACAAAGTCTAGTTAGTATGAGGCATGTTGGGGAGGATATCCAAAAGTAAATCCGTATGGGTTTGACTCAAAGTGGACAATATCGTACTAATGGAGCTAGCCGGTTTCAACACTTATTATTATTTGCATAGGGAAATCTCCATAGGAGATAAATAAGTTTAAGGACTAAACTTTATGGAGGTATGGATTAGGGTTTTGGATATCCAACCATCTTATTGAAATGAAGGAATGACAGAGAAAGTGGCATGCAAGGTTGGGGGATTCCTGTTATTTGGTGAGCGAAACTTTGAAATATGGAGTACATTCATGCACATAAAGGTAACCAAGGATATTAATGGACCTTTTTGTAAGGGATTCAACTTAGGGGTCGTTTGGAAGTTTATATTGTTTTGGTGAGATTGTTACTATAGATGTATTGTTTAGAATGTACCATTTTAAAAAAAAAATCAACAGAAATAAGACATGGATTGTTTCTATGACGTGACATAAACTATCACTCAAAATCAGTGATTGTTATATCTCATCTTTTAACTGTGATTGCTGAGATAGTTGAGTTGAGATTGTTTTGTCTCAGCTTTTAGCTAATGTGACATACACAATCACACATACCAAACATTGTATTTGGCAATGCATCAACTTTGACCAAACATGTATAAAATTACACATGCATTCACAATCATATATATAATAAACAATCACAGCTTCCAAACGACCCTTAAAGTATGCAGGGGAAATCAAAGAGTTTGAAGCGAAATATGAAGAACTACTGGGCTACCAACTTCCTGCTTTTATTGGGGGTTGATAAGACATTTGAAAATATATTGTGTAATACATAACCCAAACAGAGAAGATGCATATGTCAATTAGATTAAGGTATGAGCATTGCCAAAGGGTCCCAAAATGCCACGAAAAGAAAGGGAACATGATTATAGTCTATCAATGATGTTGTGCAATGAATATGACCAAACATTTTTTTAAAACATGATGGCCAAACTTTGGCAGGCCTACAACAATTGACAATGGTAATGGCTAACAATTGAATCTGTTCTTAGTATCTTTAGTGGGACATACTATGACCGAAAATTATAACATATGAGAACTTGAGAGGAAAAAAGAGGATTAAAGTGGAATAAGCATACGAAAGAGAAGGTTCGTTTGAAAAATATATGCGATGGTAGACATGCAATAACATATGGAACCATCCCCCAATTGGAGCAACATGATTATGTTAGTCGAGCTCCCGAACACAATATCACATAGTCATTTGGGGCCATGTGGACTCCATCGTTCAAATAGGCTTTGATGACAGGGGAATTATGGATAAAATAAGGTAGGTTCATGGAACAGGAAACAACAACAAACCCAAGAGAGACCAAAAGGCTCACTCATGAGCCAAATTAGGGAGGGGGTAGGGGGGTGGTCCAAACTTGATACAAGTTCATGGTAGATAAGAATGGAGCGATGAAAGTTGACAGTAAAAAACAAAAATACATATGAGGGATGGCAGACTCTGCATGCCAACATGGCCGCCGTGCCCATCGAGTGTGTTAAACTATAAATATATAGGTAGGGGAACACCATGATAGTTAATCGAGTAGAGAGTTGCTCAAACGAAATGGCCCAAATATTGCAATCTTAGGATAATGAGAACGAACTTCAATCCAGTTAGCGAGCCTTGTTCAACCCTTTTTTGAACAAGGAAAGATATATAGATTGTAAGGATGACAAATAGAATTAGGGGATAATGGATCCCCTTCACGAATTCCCTCCCTTAGTTTGAATGGTTCGGTTGCTTGTCTATTGAATATAATTGAGAACTTGACTTCGCTTGTGCAATTTTTGGATCCATGCTCTCTATCTATTGTTGAAACCCATAGCCTCGAGATTCTCACTTAAATAACCACTCAACCAGGTTGTAAGCTTTCTTCAAATCAAGTTTCAACATCATATCCCATGCTCCTCCTCTCATTTCTTGGAATAGTGGGTGACCTCATGCACAATGATGACATTATATTGAATCGCCCGCTCTATGCTAAAAGCCATTTGCATCCGATTTACCAATTATGGGATCCACTTTTTTTTTTTATCATTTTGATCATGATTTTGGAGTTGAAATTACAACAACTAATGGATCTACATTGAGCTGTGTTCTAAGTTTTTTTTTTTTTTTTTATAACTTGGGCGTGATAATAAGGTGAGTATCATTACATCTTTCAGGCGTAGTGGTGGTTTCGAAAAATTCCTTTACTTCCCAATAAATTTGAGTGGCTGCAATATGGTTCAAATTTGTTGAATTCTACGACTCGTACTTCTCAAGCTAGTCTTGTTCCAAACGTTGAGCGATTTTTTTGTACTTCAAAGGACGGGGTTCATTTACCCTCCTCTATCCCATTCATTTTTTAATATCTTATTCACAATGATTTCATTCGATCCATCTGGCATCGAATCTAAATGAGATTCTTATCCGAGTTTCAATAATGTACATTTCTAACCTAATAGGGCAATGATCAGATTCTTCATTGCTTCATGGATAATGATGGCATTATCAAAATATTTTCCTCCACTGTTGATTAGTTTGGTTGTTCTCTATAGTTCCGAATTATTTCAGAATTGGACTACAATTCAATTGTTGATATTTTAATGGTCTCTATCATTTGGTTGTTAGAACTTTCCATGGGCTTGGTGATCCTACCATATAACCCTAACACTAGAGCAACATAGCCCATTAGCAATTGCAAATATTGTTTATTTTTTATACCTTACTAACATTTATGCATTTGGATTTTGGAGTTTTGGACTAATTCACAAGCAACGTGATAAAATATCAGAAGAGTAGAATTTTCGGCCCGAAAGGCCAAAACCAGCAGCGAGGATTTATCTGTACTGCGGGAAACGAAAAATTTCAAAAATTGACAAGCAAGAGTTAAATTTTCGCCAAAACCAGCGACGAGGGAAAAACATGTTAAAAATTAAAGCTCGCGTCCCATTGGCTCATTTCGAATGACGCGGATCGAGCAACAAACAAACTCCACCCGTAGATGGAAACCTAATCCAACGGTCTTCGTCCCCCTCCATCTCTCACGCTGCTGCCTCCTGCATCGCCCGAATGCCTGGCTATAAAAGCGGATCGCGCCGGGAACCGACCTCATCCATCCTTCATTCTCTCAGCTCTCTCTATTCTAGCTCTTGCACTTGATATTCGTTTGCGAATCGGCGGTCAGTTTCAGTCTTAGTCAAACTCATTCGCTGGAGATGGATACCGGAGCTAAGGTGAAGAAGGGAGCCGGTGGCAGGAAGGGCGGTGGCCCGAAGAAGAAGCCAGTCTCCAGGTCCGTCAAAGCTGGTCTTCAGTTCCCCGTCGGAAGAATCGGAAGGTACCTGAAGAAGGGGCGCTACTCTCAGAGGGTCGGCACCGGAGCTCCCGTCTACATGGCCGCTGTCCTCGAGTATCTGGCTGCTGAAGTAAGTTTCATTGCTCCCCTTTCATCTTCCCTTGTTTCTCAGATCTGATTGCAATTGACCTAAATTGAATCTCACTCCTGTCTGATTGAAATTGCCGCCGAACCCTAATTAATTTTGGTCTTGAATTTGCCCAGGTTCTTGAGTTGGCTGGGAATGCTGCCCGTGACAACAAGAAGAACAGGATTATCCCTCGCCATGTGTTGCTGGCCATCAGGAACGACGAGGAGCTCGGAAAGCTGCTCGCCGGAGTGACGATTGCCCACGGTGGTGTTCTCCCCAACATCAACCCAGTGCTGTTGCCGAAGAAGGCCGAGAGAGCCGCCAAGGAGCCCAAGGAGACCAAGTCGCCATCCAAGGCTGGCAAGTCCCCGAAGAAAGCTTAGTTGAGTGGGTTACACAGAGTGTCTGATTTAGGGGGTGTTATCTTCTCTTTTGTTCAGCAATCTATGTTCTAGTTGTACCTAATTCTCGCTTTAGTTGTTATGGTGGGTTTATTTTGGGTTTCTGGGTGTGAGAGGAATGAGATGTATTGTGTGAAAATTGGCATCTCCTTTTTCTCTTCATACCATTGTCATCACAGTGGTAGCATATGTACTAGATGGCTGTAATGATTCGAGCTCTAATGGAATGGCAACGCTTTGTTTCTGCACAATCCTTTGTCACTGAACTTGCAAATATCCTAACAGCTGACCTCTCATTTTCCAGCGAGTAGAGTTAATGTACTACCATGTATAGCTGACTCCCGACCTAATGAACACGTAACAAGAACGAAATCAGAACTAGCACATTCTGAAAATTCTGACCTTGTGGACTGTGGTTGGTCTTAATGGATGTACTACTGTTTCGATTAAGGGATCTGAGAAGTAACGTTTCTTACTAGGCTTCCCTTTAACTGTTTCCTACTGCCATTTCTGTAATTGTGAAATTCATTCAGATGTATGAATCGCTCCGCTAACTACAGTGGCTTTAAATGTTTCGTTTCTTTCATTGATCATTTGAAGGTCTGTGAGCTGCCAAATGTTCTGTTCATGTTCAGGAGATCAAAAGGGACAAGTTAGACGAGGGAGCTATCAACTGAATCGCTAAATGTTGCCCTTAAAATTGCTAATAGTCGCCTTAACTCTAATGATAAATGACTTATATACCCCCAATAAAATTTCAAAATTTAAACAAACCAAACAATCCCTAACCCCTCAAACTGAACCTCTCATCTGCCTTCTTCGTGAATCCCTCTCAACGCACCAGTTCGTCGGCGTCTTTCCCGCCGTCGTCGTCGCCCGTTCTCTAACGAAATTTTCAAAAAAACGCTCAACCTAAGGCAAGTTACGGTTGGTCCATGGTGCAACCGCAAGTGAGCTGCGGTTGGCCCATGGTGCAACCGCAAATGAGCTACGGTTCCCTTTTTTTGTTTTTTTTTTCAATTTTTTGAGTGAACTTTACCGATTCACAGTCGCTAGTCATGCTCTAGACATCATATCGACGATTCAACTCCAGAATGACGATGATGGATTCTCTCTTTTGAATAATGTTTTATTTTCTTTACTAAGTTGTGTTTGTTTGCTAAAGGAAGAGTAAAGAAGCTAAAAGGTTAAATTTGTAACTTTGATGTTTTTAGGGCGACATTTAGCAATTTTAAGGGCGATCTTTAGCAACTCCGCTATCAAATGCTTGTTGCAGCAGGGAGGAACGACTAAAAAGTCCCATATTCACCTTAATTGGCAGGCAGCTACTTACCATCTTGAGGCCTAACCGGAGCTAGAGAGGTTACAGAGGAAGAACAGAAATGCAACCATGTGGAAGAAGAAACTCTACATGGATCAGTGACCAAGAAAGAAAGCTCACAGGAATAAATGGAGATATGGGATTTGGGAGGAGTATTGTCAGTTAACTGGTTGCATTTTTAGCTGCAGCATCACAATTAAATTGACAATGCTTGTTCTACCAAAAAAAAAAAAAAAAAAAAAATTGACAATGCTTGAAGTTGTATAGCATTTACACAATGTCAATGGGCCTCGCCGACGAATAATTGGGCTTTGTTTGAACTTATACTGTTAACGAGGCCCATTGTTTAGCAGATGCTGGAGAGTCGAGGTTCCCGCTATATTCGGCGCGTAAATGAGAAGTTGTTTCCGGATAGTAGCACACAAGTAAGGCAGTAGCAGTTGAATGAACACACAAGATACTGATGTGGAAGAGTCGGAGAGAGAAGGGGAGCAATTGATGAGGAATTAGAAAGGCTGGGAGCAGGTCGATTACGAAGCGAGTTAGTCCCAGGGAGCCTCGTCGGCATTTCATTTCTGCCGCCGCGTCCTCATTCACCGGCGCTTGAATCAGAAGACGAGCGGAGAAGTGCGGAGGGCGAAAAGGAAGGGAAGTGATCGCAATTGAGATACCTCTTTCTGCTCCTCTTCATCAAGGTTCGCTTCAAGAATTTTGAAGGTAACTCCAATGGAGTTTATGAGGTTTCATTTCCGGTTTCTCTTTGTGTCCCCGTTGCGCTATTCATATTATGCGCGAATCTGCAGTTGAAGAATGATGGGCGAAGATCTTGGAGTGGTAGCGAAGGAGGCTGCTGTTCGTGAGGTTGCCAAGTTGTCACCGCCTCTGCCAGAGCTATTGCATTCGATTTCCTCGATCAAAGCTGAATATCTTTCATGGCAACTGGTCTATTTCTCTCTACTTCTCTTTTTCATCATTGTAGTAGTTATTGCATCGCTGTTGAATTACTAACTAATCATGGCTAATTGTGACGCTGAAATGCATTTTCCAGGAAAATGATGCTCAGCTTAGTACAATGGTGGTAGAAGAGCAGGTATTTGTGGACGGAAAGCATACTACGTCGGCTTCTTTGTTATTGGCTGATCTCAGTAATTTTTGGTTCATAATGAATTGGTACTTTTGTACAATGTAGGTTGAACAAGCACAAGCTGGGCTAGCGTCACTTTCCACATCTCAGATGGCGATAAACCAGCTTTGTGAGAACTTTATCAGCATTGAGAGGTATGATGACAGATAAGACATTGAAGCAATTTTAGCATGTAATTTTATATTTGAATTCTGGCTTAATAAATAGACAGTGACTTTATGAGTATGACTCCACTCATAATTTTGTGTTTGTTTTGCCTGATTAGAATGCTTTAGGGTTTACCTGCTGTGCTACATGATTTTGTCGACCATTGTTTCTGTACATGTTTTATGGTGCAATTTACTTTCTTCTGCTTTGGCTGGTCCAATTTTGTGAGTATTCTATCTCAATTTATCAGGCTTTGTCAAGAGTGTCACACCTTAATTGATTACCACGATAAGATGCAGCTCCTTAGCAACGCAAGGAATAACCTAAACACGACTTTGAAGGTGAGTGGCGGCGGTATGCTATAACAATTCCATATATGCTTTTGTCATTTATACCAAATAAATTTGAATTAGCAAACATGGAGGAGTTGATTCCTTTTTATGTTTCATAGTCTTTTGATGGAGAGAAGTATCCCCGACATCACTCTGCTATTCTACTTGGTTTCCTTTATGTTATTTTTGCTGTGCTGTGCGACTCCAGTTTCCAAATTTGATATAAAGTAAATGAAAGATTCGGATTAATAAATGGGAGCTCAACATCACAGTTTTCTGTTGTATGAGCTGGTATTACATGCATTTGGTTAGGGTTAACCCAATAGTGGCATGCATTATAATTACCTTTACTTAGGAATAGTTGAAGCTGAGCTTTAACCATGAAATCGTACTTGTCTATTGAATCGTTCATCTTTACATGGTCATTATACGTTCATAATGGATTCTGTTCTGAACTCAAGGTCTGATTAGAATCCAGATGATAAAATGCCAATGTTTGATTCGAGGGATGTACCACTCACTTGGTCCCTGGATAAGGCTTATACAACTTGCTATTTTTGTTAAAAACACCCTAGACCAGCTGTCCAGCTTCAAGTAAGATGCATAATTTCATAATTGGGGGGTTTGCCTAAAAAAGTCCTCCCCAACAAGGATTTGGAGAAGATGATTCGTTCTATTCTATAATATTAGTTTCCAAGTCATAGAATGCCTAGCCTTCAGTTTCCTATTGGCAGTAACAGCCCTTATGATGTAAGTTTCTGTACATACGAGGGCCTGTACTTCAGCTTTTATAATTAGATATCAACAAGAATTTGCAGTCCTGCAAGAGGCATTCTTGTTTCTAAGGCTTATCAACTACGAAGTGGTGCTCGGAGTTTACCAGCAACTGGCGGTTCTTCATCCACTCTACCTATCAAACACACTACTTTTTATTATTTCTTCTAAGTTCCAGCAGCCTGTTTCTTGTAAGGAATTGTACAGCAACCCTAGTTACATCAGGGTCTTAACTCCAAATCAATGATTTAGTAACTCTTTTACTTTCAGGGAACATTACTGGTTTCTCTTAATACTCAGACTAGTGAGTTTGGGACTGGTGTGGTAGTTGATGCTGCAATGTCCATGGATTGCACTTATATAGTTATATAGAACTTCAGAACTGTATGGTAAAATGATGGAAAAGCTGTTCATTTTGTAGGTTGACAATTTATATTACTATGCTATGGTGAACATGCTTTCTCTGAAGTGATTTGGACTTAAATTTAAACCCTTTTGAATGCGTTAATCTCTTGGATCATGATCTTATTGGATCAATTGTAATTTGAATTCAGGATATTGAGGGTATGATGTCTATATCTGTTGAAGCAAAAGCAGCACGAGATTCATTGAGTGATGATAGCGATCTTCTCAGTACTTATGAGGTAACCTAATAGTCTCCTTGTTTCTAAACTGGAAATCTTTTATTTATTATTAAAACTTTTGAGGTCTGCTTGTTTTGTCATAGAGGCTAACAGCTCTTGATGGGAAGCGAAGGTTTGCATTAGCAGCCGTGGGATCTCATACAAACGATGTTGGAAAATTAAGGTTTGTGTATTCTTTTAGAAGCTTGTAGCTGAATGAAGTTTGAGTAGTAGAGATAAGAAACTGAAAAGGGCAAAGAGATAAATTTATGAGATTGGCCTAAAAGATCCGTGATACCTAGCTGGTGAATTACCTTGAGAAACAACTAATATTAGCTAATACTTAGACTTAAAGCCAACTCCTATTGGTAGTTGATGGTTCACAGTTTCACTTGGCTTCTGAGCACCTAATTTCCAAAATTTTAAGTGAAAAATTGATTAATTTGGCTTTGGAGCCCTTAATTAAATTGTAGGCGGATGAAAAAAATTGGACATTGAACATTTGCTTCCGGTATGTAAAAGGAAGTGCTGCTGCTACTTTGTTCCGTTTTCAATTCAAGTTGCACAGACTTTTTCAATGTGTTTAAACTTGATTGATAATTGAAACTAGAAGCAGCCTCTCATCATATTGGATTAGGAGATGCAATAATTTGATTGTTGTCAATGATAGAGGTCACCTGCTCTTACCTGCTGTAGCTATGCTTCAAACTAGAAGAAACTGCGAATAATTAAACCTGTTTTGAAAATATGGAGCTATATAATTTCTGATGATTTGTTCTGTAATTTAATAGACTCTCTTTCTCTTTGTTCCGATCGAGCTAAATGCTTGAATATCAAACAATTGGTCCAATATGGTTAAATATCTTGGATTTAGTTTGGATATTTGATTCTTAGGGGCAGAGGTTGAATAGTTAATTCTTGTTTCTGGGTTTAGGGAATATTTTGAAGACGTTGACCAGACTCGGGAAACCTTTGAGAAGACATTGTGGGCCCATGTAACCAACTACTATAAGCTTGCAAAAGAAAGGTAATTCTTGTGGTTTCACTCGACGGTGTTGTCTCTTTTCTTTTCTTTTATGTTCTTGTGAAAGTAGCATGTCAACATTTAATGTTGCATCTTTTGCTGCTATATCATAGATTTCAATAGCATTCACAAGTGGTCTGAGGACGAGAAAATATTGTCTGGATATTGTCCGTCATGTAGAAAACATGCATAATGTTCATAGTTCGTGTATATGGATGTGACTGTTTTGGATATTGGACAGTATAAATGTCTGCTCATTTTTATACCTTCGTCACAGGGACAAAAATACATGTGTATTATACTATAATCCCTCGGTTTTTGTGTACACAAATGCAAGCTTTAATGCTGTTAAATATTTGTATGGATATGTCAATGAATGAATCATGTTCTACTTTTTTGCAGCCCAAAAACTTTGGTTCGTGCTTTGAGGTATGTTCTGTGGCAAAAATTTCCTGATCCCTCAATGTTTTAATCATGATAGGCTTTCTATTTCTGTTGTCAGTACCAAACCATATTTTTTTATAGATCTGTTTATCTATTACTATGGAAGTCGAGATGGATAGAGGCTGCCAGCAACATATTTTCCTCCGCTAAAGACACCCAACAGGAAATCATTCTTAAGTTTAACTACAATCAGGAAAGAGAAAGGAGAATAAATTGGAAGTTCACATGTTCCTATTATTTTTTCACTCTGCTAAGATTTCTTTGATTACGACCAGGGACTTACTAGTTTAGGTGAGAAGGTTGAGTTATACCTGTCTCAATATAACTGGTATCTATCGTAAATGGCTTTATGTTGTGGAGAATAAAGATGTTACTCGCATTATATTGCGTTGAATGTACTTTTGAAGCAAATTTTGACTCCAACAAATCCTAGATCTCTATTCAGGAAACCACTGGACAAATCTGAACAACTAACATGACAGACAACCATCCTTGTAACTTTTGTTCTGAACAACAAAGACATGACATGCTGATTGAAGCAGCTGGCAGAAACCTGAAATCTGAAACCAAAGCGCAAACCCAAAAGTGGAATCTTGGAATTATCTATGTACTGTCCGTTTTTTGGATATTTTTTCTTTGTTGATAGTGAAACGGCCCAAACATGAAGAAAGTCTGAGTGAGGTTGGACTGATATTAGATGAAATGCATCATAAACTTTCTATTTTGTTCCCATACACAGGGTTGTCGAAATGCAAGAGATCCTGGATCAACAAATTGCGGAGGAGGCAGCTGAGGCCGAGCAAGCTGATGCAATGATGAAAGTCACTAATCCTCATCGATTTGTGAAGTACCTACTGCAAACTAATTCAAAATTGTGTCTTGGACACCACAGTATTTGAAGTTCTACCCTACTGACAGTTTGAAGTTGCATTTTCCCCCTTTCTCTTGAAATAGCTGGTTGTAGCTGATTAAGGATTGATCGTTTCCTGATGAAGCAGAAAATCTATGGGTGCAAAAGCTTTTGGAAAAAACGTGGCACGGCGGAATTTAAGAGTTCAAATAAAAGGTTATAGGGACAAATGCTATGAGGCGATAAGAAAAGCGGTGGAGGGGCGGTTCAACAAGCTGCTGACAGAGGTCTATAAATTTCAGTTGTTTGTTTGCACAATTAAACTTATTTTGGTTAAACACTATTGTTAGTCTGACCATAAGTTATTCAGCAGCTAGTGTTTCGAGATCTTAAAGGTGCTTTGGAAGAAGCTCGAATGGTATGCTTAATCAACTAAGCCTTCTACATAGCTATGCTTGACCAACAATTCTTGTTAAGCTTAGTTGTCTGATGTAGTACGCATATCTGAGTTTGCGACACCACAATAACATTTTTTTTTTGTTTATGCATCAGATTGGTGTTCTTGTCTAACGTTAGCTCAACATTTGGCTGTCATTCTAGTCTATCTTAGAATAATGCTGCATTTACTTACATTGTTGTAGTCTGAGTACTGGGGACCACATTAACATTTTTTTATGCATCAGAGTGGTGTTCTTGTGTAATGTTAGCTCAGCATTTGGCTGTCGTGCAAGACTATCTTAGAATATTGCTGCAGTTTCCTTCCGAAGGGTTGATGTTTTATATACTTTTGAGTTGGCCACATCATGAAATATGCGTTGTTTCTTTTTTCGGATCGGGGTGTGCGGAACGGCTAGATAGTGCTCTAGTGTTTTAAGCACTATCCCTGTGGAGGATGAAGCCTGAAGGAACTCCTAGTGTACCATCAAGTATAAGTGAGAGACTTCACTTCAGAGGACTTGGGGAAGTATTGGTACGCTTAACCCTAGGTTTCGAATTTCTGGATCTTTGCACCCTAGTCCCTAGGATGCACTTATTCGTAAAATCCTAGAATGAATGTTGCTATTGTTACTACCAGTTGCTGTGATTTAGTTAGTTCTTGAAAAGTGAAACCTTTATGGTTGGTTCTCATTTTATGATGTTCTTTTTATAGTATACGATATCCTCTAATACTAGATAGAAAAACAATACATCTGCTCTGACCTCTTTCTCCTTTCTAAATTCACATTTACTTCTTGTTCTACTTCCCCAAAGGGAAAGCATATGGAAACGGATAGAACCAGTGGGATTGCGGTAAGCATCAAATCTGTCTATATATAAAAATAAATAAATAATATTTGCTGCTTCGCAGAGAAGCATCAGGACACAAGATGAGAATGTTTATCTGCATTCTGACATCTTGGATATGTAATACCGGGTTAACTAGCAGTGGTTGTTCAAGTTCATCAGATGACTGTATAAGAAAGTAGTACAAGAGTGAATTTTGTGGTTTCTTTTGACTGGTTGTAGAACCATTCATTCAAACATGCACCCATTGCCTATCATTTTTTCTTCCTAATGCAGCTGTATGGCAATTTGCCATTCAGCTTCTCCACTCATCAGCAGCCCCTAACGATGCCACTAGTTGCATGACTTTCTTTCAGTTATATCTACCCAATATCCCCCTTCCCCCTCCCTTTCCTTCCGCCTCTTGCGCATGTATACTTTTCTCTGCATGTGTAGTTCTTGGTACCTGTGTACTTCTATTTTGCGTTTGTGGGTTCATCCTGCTATGCTGCATGCTGGGGCTACAATCAAACATGCACAATTTGTTATTGGTTGGGACTCGACTAGGTGGTTGGATATTGAACTGAGATTTTTTCATCAAATGTCATTGCTTTTAGATCCTAGTCCTGCTGATTCATAATAAAATTCGGCACTTTCTTTCTTTATCCTTGACAAACAGATTGGAGAAGAGCTTGGAGAAATTTACGACTTTGTGGCCCCATGTTTTCCTCCAAGGTTTGTCTCAGTCAAATCTCTGATTCTTTGATTTCTTTCTTCTTCTGTTACTTTGGTTATTGAGATATTGCTAGGTTCATTCATTGATTTCTTATTCAATCTTATACCAGTGTTCTCTGAATTTCTTTCTTTATATATATTTTTTTTGGCCATAGCTGAATTTCTTTCTTTAGATTGCTGGTTTTAGAATGCCGAGTTTGTGAATGAGACAAATTACAGTGGGAAATGTGCCATATAAGACTATATACTTTGCCAGGATCTTCATTATTATAGAACCCTTCTTTAATAGGGAATTACATTAATTGTTAATGAGTTTGTTAGAACATTAAAGCTCAGTGCTTACTATTTGAGCTCCTAACTCCGCTTGAAGTAATGTATATCCATCCACTGGGATGAATACTTTTATTAATACCTGATCAGGCTGTTCCTGTCTTCTTTTTACTTTTTTGGGACTCACCACAAAGAGAGGTTTGAAAGTACAAAGAGAATAACTGGGGCATTCTTTGCATTCTAAATGCAAAACAATGCATGAGACAGCTTTGAGAATGAGAAATGTGCTGATTATGGGAGACCAATGGTAGATACTAGCAATGGTAGTATAAGATTTTTCTGCTTATCTCTCTCGCTTCCTAGTAGGCAGTTGTTTCATCAGGCTCAATGATTTTATGTGTCTCAATATGGTCTGTCAATGGGGTTTCTCTCTTAGTTGATGTGATGTACGCCGCACATTGCACTACCTTTCATTAAAGAAAAAAGGTTCTACCCTTGTTTTGTTAGCTTAGCTTTTTTTAGTTAAATATCATCACTATTTTATTTAACTTCTTTGCTTGTTAGTTAAGTCATGCTCATGTATCAATTTCTCATCTTTACAGATATCAAATATTCCAGCTCATGGTCAATCTGTACACTGAGAGATTTATACAGATGCTCAGATTGCTGAGTGATAGAGCCAGTAAACTTACAAATATAGAGATTTTGAAGGTATAAAATCCTACACATAAGCACTTTGAGCATATCGTCTGCGATAGCAGCAGTTAACCTTGTGTGAGAGCTGACTCTTTTTGCCAATTAATTAACTGATGTTGATTGAGAGACCAAATTGACTTGTTTTAATGTACCTTAGCATCAGAGCTCAATGCTGTCTTGGCTCAGTCCTTCTGTTTTTTTTTTTTGGTTACGAAGTGCTTTTTTACCTAAGTCTCGTGATAGTTAGTGTATTACCTAAGCCCTGATAGTGCTTCTTGCTTTTTGAATTATTGATATGGTTAAGCACCTAAGTTTTTACTGTTTTACGAGAATGAGTAGTGGAATTTATGTTGTTTGTCATTGGACGTATTGCAAGAGTTTCAAACTATAGGTGTTTTTAATCATCAGGATGTTTCAAGAGATTGCTGGTATGATATGCAAACAATGTAAGACTACTGTTCTCATTGTTAGAGTAGATGGTTGCAGTTGTTCTTACTGATTTGCGAAGTCTCCCCTATTAAGTTTCATAATTCATTCTGAACCAAAAGGTTGTTGTTAGATGCCTCGGTGATTTGTTTACTTCTTTTCTGTTCCATAGCCTTTTATCAATGGCATATGTATTGCTTGTTTATTCAATTTATCAATGGGTAATATGGTTTTACTGAAAAGCTACCATTGTGGTCCCTGGTAGTGAGAAGTCAGCCATATTTAGAATAATAAATACTCACCTTCCATAAGAGGGAACTCATAGCAATTTTCCGATTATGGTTTTTTCCTCGGCGAATCCCTGTGTATTGCAAAAGAAAATTATATGGACTTTGCTGTCTGTTGTCAGTTTTCCTTTTTTCCCCCTAGGCTTCAAGAAGTTTCATTGAAGGCTGATCTTGTCCTGTGAATTTGATAGTTAACAATTCTGATGCCCCGTCACTAGGTTACAAGTTGGGTGGTCGAATATCAAGATAATCTGATGGGACTCGGTGTTGATGAAACCTTGGCACAAGTATGTTCAGAGAGTGGTGCTATGGACCCCCTCATGAATTCTTATGTTGAACGAATGCAAGCTACGACAAAGGTAATTAATGATATGTTACTCTTCTCACAAACTGAGAATTTTGAACTTATATGTATGGTTCTCGTGAATGGTTTCACTTGTGTAGAAATGGTACTTAAATATACTAGAAGCTGACAAGGTACAGCCGCCAAAGAGAATGAAGGACGGAAAGTTGTACACTCCAGCTCCCGTTGAGTTGTTCAGGGTTCTTGTGGAGCAAGTTCAAAATGTTAGGGACAACAGCACTGATGTCATGCTTTATAGAATTTCTTTGGCTATTATTCAGGCAAGTAAAATTTTGTTTTTTAGAGCTAAGTGGTTTGTGTGAGGTTTTATTTATATTCAGCTCATCTTTCACCATTGGAATAATAAGTTTTACACTGATCTTCCTTGCCAAATCATCCAATCAATTTCTTGTTCAACTGCTGGAAGGAGGCAATGGCAAGGGGGAATATATCTTGATTGCAAATAGTTGTTTGAACCAATTTGCATCATTTTCTTCATTAATCTTTTTCTGCTGCTATTACTTTTAAGGTCCCCAACGTTCCTCCCATAGAAATCAAACAGCAACTGTCAAAACTTAGATCCAATGCTGATGTAGCTCAATTATACAGTGCCTAAGTTGTAGCTCTGTATGTTTCTCTTCTTGATTTTCCAATGTGCTATTTGTCTTTCCTATATTTACAATCCAAGCTCCTTTATTTTAATTCTATGGGGTGCTCTCTTATTTTCATTTTATCTACTGGTGTTTGTTTAGGTGATGATTGATTTTCAAGCAGCCGAAAAGAAAAGGCTCCAAGAACCAGCTTCTGAAATTGGTTTCGAACCTTTGTGTGCAATGGTACGCGGTACCTATGTTCTTATTGATGTTATGGATGATGAAAACTTCTACATGCAGTTTACTCACTACTAAAATTATCTGCAGATTAATAACAATCTACATTGCTACGACCTTGCAATGGAGCTCAGTACAAACATAGGTGAAGCACTTCCGCAGAATTATGCTGTACAGGTTATTATATTGTTCCAAACCATGTGTTTCCACTTTCCAGTTGAGGAATATGCTCTCCATCTTGATTACATCGATCCTTAATGTGCGGTGCTTCGTGGATGGTTTGTATTCACTTAAATCCAACGTGTTGCTGCTTAGCCCTATGATTGGCAAATTATCAATGCATCATGGATAAAAAGCTTTGGCGAGTTGAAGTCATGCACACACCAACTCTGTCACTCTAACTTGATAAATGATTGTTGACCCAAGGTCTGAACCTAAGTTTCCTTGGTTATTTTCAGTTCTCATTACCACTAGTCCACTATACTAGCCCTTGCAGGTTTGTGAAGGAAATATGACGAAGGAACAAAGTAGAAGCTGAACATGGCTGTTCATTTCATGTTCTCCTGTTCCGTGGTTTTCCAGTTTGTTCACTAACTGAGTTCCTTGTCACTTTGAACAGGTTAGCTTTGAAGATGCTTACAAAGGCTTCTTGGAAGTTGCAAAGGTACAAACATTGGAATTGCTTTTTGTTGCTGTTACTGGAATCGAAAATATTTTATTTTGCTGAAGGCCACCTGATCCCTTGAGGTTCTCATTTTGATCAACCTGACTCCTTGCCTTATTTTTGCTTGGCAACTCCCTTGACTCAGTCTCTCTTCTGCATTAAGCACGTCAAATTTGTTTGTTTTAGATATTGGACCCTATGATCTTTAAGAATCGGTGACTTGGTGCCATGATCAGTCGACTATAGCTAATCGACAAGTCAACTGGACCTAAGAAGACTTTAAGGAGCTATTTGACCTGGGAGGAAACAAAATTTTAGGGGCTGCATGACCCAAATAGCTAATTTCAGAGTGGCAACTGACCTTGAGCCTTTTTTTCATTTTCGGGGATTTTCACGTGGTAACTGGTAAGCCATTTGCCTTGTTGTAGCAGCGCCTTATAACCAGACTAGATCAGAATGGTATATTTTGTAAGACCAACAGCGACATGAACTCCAGACTTAGAGTTGCAGATCAAAGTTTATGTATTAAGTCGGGATAGAACTTCAATGAGTATTCAATATAAGATTTTATCGACCCACAAAGTTTTTTTGATGGAATTGAGTGGGGTATTTTATTGGTAGAGAAAATACGGAACATGCAGGGGTTATACCATAGTGTGCGACTATCTTCTTGCTGATGCATCCTCTAAAAGTTATCAATATGCAAGCAGGAGGGAGCCAACTATTATCAGAATGGCAAAAGGATGGGGCCCCCTGAGCAATAGAAGGACATACTATTTGAAAACCGAAATAAGACACGAATTTAAAAAATAATGTTGATTCTCTTGATTGACGTGTGGATAGTTATCCTCATACGCTGTTAGCATCAGCCATGGACAGGATCTCTACTGATTTTTCTCTGTCTTGTCAGGATGCATGTACTACAGATCCAATATCTAGATGATTTACATGGCTGACTTTACTTTTTTCCAGGGTTGTCCACTCTGTTAAAAAACCAAGCAGTTAGTATGCCATTGTGATTTTATTAAAATGTGCTCCTTTTACTTTTCTTTTTCCATGAATGTGTATTGTTGATTTGGAGATGAAGCGCTTGATGGTTCTTGATGCATTCTTTGTTTGTTCTATAGATTGAAATGTGGGTGCCGGCTTAGTGTGGTACCTCATATTTCTAACGAATTTCTATATCCTCTTTGTGCAAATTGTTGTAATTGTAGGATACAGTGCATCAAACAGTTAAGGTTATCTTTGAAGAGCCAGAGGTTGAAGAGTTGCTTGTCAAGCTTTATCAGAATGGTAAATTTATTTTTTTGAAACTGAACTGTTGAATTAAGTTGAGATAAAATCAGATACGTCCGGTAGTTATCTTTTATGTGCTGTGATCGCTGCACTATACTGTCAGGTTTGTCACGTTTCTTGAAGTCGGAAGTGACTGATTAGGTTCTGCAATTATAGGAAGTGTGACTGTCCTTTCAATCTTAGATCTTAAACAGCATAAAAGAAACAAAGAAGAAATTAGGTAAAATTTGCTTTACCTGCCTCAAAAGCCAAATATATTGCGGTTTTACTGATCTAGTAGTGACTATCCATGGTTCATGCATCTGCTAGTCAAGGACAGAAGCATACTTAGTGAACATTCAGCTTGCGCTTCGAAGTTAAGGGTTTACTAATTCCTTGGACTATCTTTTTTATTAAAAATAGTGTGCGGATACCAACTTATCATCTGTTTCCCATCTCTCTGGGAATTTGTGACGAGCCAATGGTTTTTTGATTGATTGAAGGCCCTCCTACCATATTCAATTAACTTTCGAAAATGCTTACCCAACAAATATTGAGAATTCAAAGTTTGGGCAACTCAATAGCGTTGACAATACCGAATCTGATCCAAGTTGTGTGATGGAAGAACAAAGCTACTGTTAGCTATTCCTTTTTTTTTTTTTTTTGTTGATAAAATGCTTTCAGACCTTGGTGTGTCCTTACTTGCAAGTCTGCTCATTTGGGCTCATGGAAAAGACGTGTGGACCCAAATATTACTTCAAGCTCAAATACATGCTCAATAGGTGGCACATTAATTTTTGTTGTTGTGCTAATTAAGAATGTATCATCTTGTAGTTTATCAGGATTTTATCTGATCTCATCTTTCAATTGACATATACTGAACTTGTCTAAGACTGACTTCAACAAACCATCAAGTATGGTCACTGGAGCAAATGCATGACCTTGAGCATTAGCTTGCTGAGCTACCTCAATTCGACTCTGATTACAATCCTATGTCCTAGGGAGTAGCTGATGCTGCTACTTTGTTTGCTCTAAAAGTTATCATTTCAGTTCGCTTCTAAGAATGGGCATGCAAGTGAAATTTGTGGTTTGCTTTGGGTTTTCTTGTGTCTTGCTTCTGAATCTGGGCCTTCTTATGTCTCAGAGTGGTTGGAAGAACAGGTCTCTGAATACCTGGTTGAAACATTTGATGATTATTTCAAAGATGTGAAAATGTAAGTTCCGTCACACTGTCTCATTCGTGTTTCTACAATAGTGTTTCAGCTCCCTTTAGTTTTCTGGAGAAAGCTTAGTTCCAACTAGTCTTCCCCATCAGTAGTTTAGATACCGGTTTAGATACCTAACCGCCAAGGCATGGTTGAGCTTGGGATGTAAGTTCTTCACAGACCTGCGCCCAAGGCATGGTTGAGCTTCCAAAACTTGGCCGTGTTTGGCTTTGGTTATTTAGTTATGAAATCTAGAAGTGTGTAGCTTTTAATGCCTCGAATCTTGTCATAAAGAGCTCAATTTGCTAAGTGTAACTAAGATAATACGATTTAAAAGATAAAACTAAAAACTTGTGATCTAGATTATATACCCTCTTATTTGGTCTAATATGGAAGAAGCATCGAATATTTGAATCGTACATCTAGACGGATCTGACTTCAAGTGCAAAACATGTCATTAGTTTCTGTAAACAAATGGTTGGCAGAAGCATGTAGAAGGTTCCTGGGAACTTGCTTTTTTCTCAATTAATTAGACTTATTGATGATGGATTGATGTGCTTAATGTGGATCATCTGTACAATCCATTAGTTAGTAAAATGCTGATCTGAGCTGTTACTAGTTATTGTTCGAAGAAGACAAATCAGATGATTTTGTGATATCTTCATGATGGTGTAGGTACATTGATGAAAGATCTTTTCGAAGATTTATGGAGGCTTTTCTGAAGGAGACAGTGGTGGTTTATGTTGATCATTTTATGACACAGGTTGGATAGTGATCTCGTTTGGTAGAAATATTGCACACATTATTATTTTTCTGCTAATAGAAAGGCTGGAGTCTCTTCCATTATTCCTCTGTTTAAGCCAAATTCCTAATAATGTAATTGTGATGCATCGTTGTAGAAAAACTACATAAACGAAGACACCATAGAGAGGATGAGGCTTGACGAAGAGGCTATAATGGACCTCTTCCACAAGTACATCAGCGCCTTTGTAAGTGCTGACTCCATTTTTTACCTGCAGTCTGGTTAGCAATTGCTCCTAAGTATCATCTCACATTGCTGGGTGTTCTTTTTCCTTTTATAGTTATTTCTTTCATTAAAATTTTGTTGCTTTCTGGGATTTGCTCCAGAAAGTGGAAAACAGAATCCGGATAATGAGTGACTTGCGAGAACTTGCTTCAGCAGAGAGTTTAGATGCGTTTACACTTGTCTACACAAGAATTCTGGAACATCAACCAGACTGCCCGGTAAACACAAAGTTCTATAGTCTCTCCATCATATCTCGCTCACCGTTACCCTAAACAATCAGCGAAGGGAAAGACAAAGCATGTGTTTGACAAAGTCTGTTTTTCTTTTATCTTTATTAATTTTGTTGGGCAGCCTGATGTAGTCGAGAAGATCATTGGCTTGCGAGAGGGGATACCCCGGGAGGATGCCAAAGAGGTATGAGTTGTGTCCTCTTCGAATTTCCAGAATGTACATTATGTAGCACTCTATTAACTGAATAATGTGGCTGAGTTCTTATTATACGAGTTCTATCTTGTGAGAAGGTTAGTTTGCTGTTATCGTGAAATACGCAGGTGGTACAAGAATGCAAAGAGATATATGAGAGCTCGCTTGTGCGTGGTAACCCACCAAAGAAGGGGTTTGTCTTCTCAAGGGTGAAATCTTTATCTGCTTCCAAAAGGTATATCTGACAAAAGCACTTGAAGTGTCGAACGACTTTGGGCCAGGAAAATGTATCGCTCTGAACGATTCTTGAAGCAGAAAAGAAGTAGTGTTGCTTGTGTCTGATGTTCTATTTTCTGTGTCTTAGGCTTGTAGTTATGTAGGCTATCGGTGGTAATTTGATCTTTTGTTATCCCTTCTTCCCCTAAACTGGATTTAACCCGATTTGTTATCATTGGTACTTTTCCGGAACAAGCAGACACGTTAGCTAGCGAGTAAACGTTTCCCTGGAATTACCTTCTAGTTTCGTTTCTAAATGTGATGGCATATGTTCATGCTTTTGCTCGTCTGAAAACATAATTAGTAATTCTCCTGGTTACCAAATCTGCTGATGCTCTGGTCAAATACAAGAGATGTTAGCTTTGCATTTTACGAGTGGAAACAGAGCTATGGTAGAGCGAAGGTTCAAACAAACTTTAAAAAGGTTCTGCCCTCATTCCTTGCGAAGTCACAAGTCCAGTGGCAGTTGGATAAGTGTGGCAGTTTCTTCTGCTTCTGACGAGCTACTTCTTCTGGTTCATTTTAAGCAATAAAAAGAAGCAACTCGGATGTCTTTGGCTTCTGCAAGTGTTTGCTCGCTGCATTTTGTTGATGTTGATTGCCGTGGAAAGAGCAGAAATCATTGTGGTAGTTTCTTTACTTTGATGGTTGTGCATAAATATAGAAGCATGGACATGGATACCAATATTGACTGGAACCGAAGATGCAGCCGATATAACTGTCATACTAGTCTCTGCTGCACCTTGAACATTACATGCTAGATAATAACTTTTCGGGTATAGAAAATTCCAGTTGGTGTTGTGGAGGAAAACCAGAGAAGATAAACACTGAGAATAAGTTCTTCATAAGTCTGCTAAGCTGTGTTCTGCTTAACATAGGGTGATCCATTTGAGGGAACACAGGTTTCTAGCTTTTGGTTGTTTTGTTGGAGAAACTGAGATTTCTTGTTTGTGCTCTCTGGAGTTGCTTACCAAAAGATTGATTGGTCGTACTGGTGCGAAAGAGAACGTGCAGGTGTGTATATATAAGTTGATATTCAGCATAACCAATAAGGCCATCCTCTGGATATCATCTCAATATGTTACATTACAGGTGTTCCATAGGTAGGATTATTCAACCCAGTGCTCGGCTTAAGACCGAAACATAACTTGCTTCATTCCCAAGGAAACCAATGCAGCACTTACCCTGCTTCCTCCTCCTAACTTACCACTTTTTCCAGTTTCATGACAATGTGTACAAAGATGAAGAAGAAAAGAAACAAACTGCAGGACTGAATGTAGATTACTACTACAACAACACTGAGATAGGTCTCTATCGACGATGCATGTTTGTTATGATTGATCTTCTCCAGGTCTGGTAGTTTCTGCCACTTCCACGAAGATCAACCTCCCATCCACAATCTGGACACAGATAACCAAACACAAAGGGCAAATGAATCACTAGAAATGAAGACCTCTGTGGCCGCTGCTCCAAAGGTTTCACATGAATGAATAAATCAGCAAAAACAGGGAGCCCTTTTCTCCAACAAAATGGGAAGCAGCAGTAGTAAGGAGGACATGGATGTGGGTTTACTTACCCTGCCATCCAATGCCTTCATAGCTTTTTGAGCGTCCGACTCCGACTGAAACCTAACAAAGCCGAACCCTTTCGGCTTCTTAGTTCTCGGATCAACAACCAGTCTCGCTACAGCAAACAAAAAACTCAACAACTTCGAACCCTAATCCACATTTTACTTGCCAAAACTGAAACGCAATCCGGACGGCGGCAGGAGATCGCTTTTTACTGTACCTTGTTGGATGACGCCGAAGGGTGCGAACAAGTTCTCGAGTCGCTGAGTGGTTATGTAATTTGACAGTCCTGCCAGGGCAGCCATAGATAGAATTAGAACCCCCGAGGGATGTGCTCGAATAATTGAAGCGAAGAAATGAAAGGAAGGGCAACACAAAACAGGTTTTGATTCGCAACTGCTAACGAATAGCTCCGCTCCGGCTCTTTTGGCCATATTGCTCTGCCGCTTGTTTCGCCGGAAAGATGCGCCGCGTTGATAATGATTTGGGTTCAGAATTCAGGCGACGGCTTTTAAATTAGGGGGGGATGAATCTGCATTGCAACACAGAGCTTTGGTGAAACATAACGTATCATCGTCTCTTGTCGAATGGGCCAACCTTGACCTAATTTTAGTCCACTATCCATGGCTCGGGCCCAACCCAACTACAATTTATCTATGAATCATTTCTTTGCGATGATTTAACAGTTAAAATTTACTTGTTTGGTTGAATCTAATGAAAAAATGAAAAGGGAGAAGATAGTTGGTTGAATCTCTGTGAAATTGAACATAACCAAACCGATAGTGTATTTCAGTTAATAATTCCAGAGAACCCAGCCTTGATCGAGCTGATCCAAGCTACAAATTCAAAAGTTAAACTGCAACACAGACCGCAAACAGTAGCAGACAAGCATAAATCTAGAACCCTAATCCTACCCAGATACAAACATACACAACCCGCCCAATCCCCCAATTCTTCCCCCACAACCGAAACCCTAACGAATTCAAGAGCTGGTGAACTTGGTGACGGCCTTGGTCCCTTCAGACACGGCGTGCTTGGCGAGCTCTCCGGGCAGCACCAATCTGACGGCGGTCTGGATCTCCCTGGAGGTGATGGTGGGCTTCTTGTTGTACCTAGCGAGCCTGGAGGATTCCTGGGCGAGCTTCTCGAAGATGTCGTTGATGAAGGAGTTCATGATCCCCATCGCCTTGCTCGAGATCCCGATGTCTGGGTGGACCTGCTTCAGGACCTTGAAGATGTAGATCTTGTAGGTCTCCACGCTCTTCTTGTTCCTCTTCTTCTTCTTGTCGGCGGCAGCGGCGCCTCCTTCCTTGGGGAGCTTCTTCCCGGCCTTGGGCTTCTTCTCCGCTGGGGCTTTCTCGGCCACCGTCTTCTTCTCCTCGGCGGGTTTCTTCTCCGCGGGCTTCTTCTCTGCCTTGGGTGCCATTTCTGAGGTTGGGTGGGATTAGGGTTTGGCTGGCAGATATTTTTTTTGGTTGAGGAGAAGAAAGGAAAGCAGAGATCGGAATTGAGTTTTGTGTGAGAGAAAAGATAGGTGGCGGGTTGTTTATATATATGGTGGTTCTGAGGTTTTGATTGGTTCCTGGGGTCTTGTTCAGGATCGCTGACGTGGTGCTTTGGGACCGAGCGATTCAGATCAGTAAGTGAGTTAATCGACGGTTTTGAGAGAGTTGGTTGGACTGGCTTATATTTTTCTAGTACTAGCACCCGGATGGATGACGTGGATAGTAACTGGGTCCGTGTCCATCCAAATCCAATCATACGAATTGGGCTGCCCACTCCAGGATCCAAACTCATTTAGGCGCGAGAAATGAGCTATCTAAATTTTAGAGGCAAATTAGTCCAAATTTTTAAACTTCTCACTGGTTGAAATTTTAAATACTGCAATTCCTTAGTATCCTGGATTCAGCAGAAATTTATGTTACTTGTGAGATTTGAAAATGAGCGTTTTGATCTAGAATTAGATTTGAAAAACCTTCATGGACTTCAGGATTGGGAATTTATAACAAAAAGGAAATTACCACATTATACTTTTTGTTTCTTTTACTATTATCTATCACCTCTTATTATCAGCAGCCTCATTTGATATCTTCCTTTGCAAAAGAAAGCCAATATCGTCCACCTCCAGCTTACCTTGCTCTCATCTCCACCATCAACATTCAGCTTACCCAGTGGTGTGGGAGCCTCGTAATAGCCGAGTGCGTCATGCTTCCACCGACGACTTTGTTAACCCTCGTTTCAGTGGTTGGTTCGTGAACTTTATTTTCGCCTGTTTTGGTTGGAGTCATGTAAAATATCTTTCTATTAGTCTCTATTCATATGATGAATGACTATGACAAGTGGATAGAAGGGGACGGAAGTGGTGGATGCCTTCCAATACGACGAGGAAGATGTGACCAATGATGGTAGGCATAGGGCTTCTCTGAAAATCTATCACGCAACCACGAATCCGAATCACAAATTTTTTGGATGCTAAAATTTTGGTTCAACCGTTCAAATGTATGTATTCCTTTAAGAAAGTCGACATTCCCCGGTGTCACTAAATCGTCGAACTAGTGATTTGCCAAAGTTTATCTGCATTTGTGTGCAGACAGTGAACCTTGTAATTTCTTTGAGTGGTACATAAGAGTTGTCATGCTCGTACCATCAAGAATGTTGTATGAAATGGTTGTGAAGTAACACTCGTGAACAACAGAGCTTTGAGATTTGTTAGAGAGACTTGGTACTCGTCTTGCCAATGAGAGTGCTACACCATGTTGTGTTGATATAGGCGAAGAGTTCATATTCTGATGCAGAGACTGGAACGTTTGGAGTCAGAGTTTTCAAGGAGGAAGTAACTGTAACAATTGTTGTACAATCATGCGTTGAATTTTGTTGAACATTCAACATCGTTAGCATGTGTTTACTTGTGTGAGCGAACTCGTGATTGATGCTGCAATGTAAATTGTTGGGAAGTGAATGAAAGATTGATTTTCCCTTTCATGACATTAATGAATGTTGTTTAAAATATTGGACATGCTGTAGTAGGTACTATTTTTGTATAGTAAAATTAGTAGCATGTATAGTAAAATTTACAGTAGGTTTACATACAATAGGATATTATCATGTTCCTATACATTACAATAATATTCTTACATATATTGCAATAAACTTCCTAATACTAATACACACATGTTGGAATGAGAAATAAACTTCATCAAAATCAAAGTATTCCCACTTAACAATATCCCAAGCACGGTCAAATCCTAGTGGATTTAATTTGGCAAAAAAAATTCTCATACCTTGCCACATATGTTGTACAAAATCTTACTAGCCGAAGCTAACTAACCCCATTGTTGGTCAACATAGAAGACTCTTAACAAAATAGAAATCAATCCTCCTTGTTCTCAATAAAATAAAAGAGTCGTGTCTTCAAATCATTGTTCACCAGAGTCATTGCAGCATTAATGACTTGGGATTTTGTTAGTCCACCAATTTTGCCTAGCTCAACCATAAGTGCAACTTGCTTACTGTTGTCATTATCACAATCACCTAGTATGAGTCCAAGCACTTCTGCACCCTTGAAAATGACAAGCTTCAGACCACCAAGCTCGTATACAACATTTGCTATAGCTTTATCATTGTTGAACTCGACCATTTTAGCATTCTCCTTAACAACGGAGTTGCTGCCAACTGCACCCTTTGCAGATGCCCCCCTAATTGCCTGCCCATGTGTCTACTAACGCTCTCCAGTTTATTCAATACTCAACTTAATTCCTTTGTTCATGACGTCCACCAATATCTTTGTGCTTTTTGGATCTTCAAAATTAAACAGCGATTATAAACCATCCAAATTCACGATTGTTTGATGAGAGTAAACCATGTCCAAAATCACCATGTAACCCTTCATTGAGTTGTTCCTCCTCTGCCAACGATCTGGAGAAGTTCATAGTAATACGGGAATGGCCTCTTGATGTTTTTATATTGCACTTACAACAGACTCAAAATGCTTATCCTACATTATCGCATCCATTATAAAAAGCTGCATAATCAAATCGGCCATTAGGCATTACCTTCATCAGATCATCAAACACATCAAATAGGCCATTAGGCTCTACTGCTGGTGTGTGACTTGGTTCTAACCACACTCTCAATCGAAGGCTAAGTGGAACTTTCAACATCGACAGTATAAAGCAAGTATTTCTTGAATTATCAAACCCGGACAGTCTATATATCTTTACTTCAACAAACTACAAATTATATGGTGGTAGAAACGGTGGTTTAAGCTAATGAACTAACAAAAATGCAAGTAAAACAAGGTTGAAATTAAGGGGAAAAGCTTTAATCAAATGATTATCCCCCTAGTCCCATTTTGAGTCAATGACGTGATACTCTAGTGTGATTCGCATGTAGTACATACCGTTAGGAAATCAGAGCTAGTTAAAGTCCCTATTCGAGTTGTACTAAACCATCTAATTGCTCTAACTGGAGAGGCATACAAAACAACTAAATTAGGAAATTAGGGCAACCAAATCCATTCCCTCGGGCAATGACTCGGAACCACATAAATAAACCAATCACCCACATTCATGGCCCCCTTACGCTAATTGAATAATGCCCTAAATTGTTCTCATGAGATCTTCTCACACCTAGGATAATTGGCCCCAAAATAGAGGGAATTGATAAAAGACCTTCAATTATCATGATAAACAATCAATTAATATATAAACAATCATTCCAATCACAACATGGAGTTCACAATCACAAACATACAACATTCTAAACTAAGGTTCACATCATCCAAGTGAATAGGAAATCTACTCTATGCTCAGAGAAAGAACTACAACTGTAGAGAAGGAAAACCCCATATGAAATTCCTTCTCTCTAGTTGTTTGGGATGGTGTTGAAGATGAAATCTGACATTTTTTTTATCTTTGTTAGCTAAAATTCTTCTTCAATATTCATTGGTTCATCGCTTTCTCTCTCTAGAATGGAGAAGAAGATCCAACTCTCTCTCTCTCTCTCTCAAACTCTTCTCCTTTTTTATGGCTGGTGGAAGGTTATTTACGGCAAAAAGAATATGATTTTTTCTTCAAAAGTTATTTTTTTATTTACCTTCATGTTTTATTTATAAATTTTAACATAAATAAATCATGTAGAATTGATGTGGAAGACACGTCACTGCCACCTCAGTTATGAATGCTGAGTCACTGACGGAATAAATGTTTGACCGTCAATTTTAACGGTCAACCCAAACTTCATGCCAAATCTGTCCATTAATTTTAAAAGTTGGCCATAAAAGTCTTGTTGAAAAATTCGGGCCAAAACCGACACTTACGCCAAACTTCAGGCCAAATTAGGGTATTAACCAAATTTGAAATTGTTAATGGTTAGAGTGATAAATTAAATCCTAAGTTAGTACATTACTAGTTATCCGCCCGCGCTCCGCGCAGGGAGGCGTCGAATAACGTTATATTCTGAGTACATGTGTATTCTACTTAATATAACAATTTTTAGTTGATGTGAATACGTAATGCAAGTATTAAGAATGCATGATGAATTTTTAATACATAAAAGATGTTGTATGCTTGGTAACATT